ACCCTGTCATAGTCATCGAAACAAGGAGGGTCTCAGAACCTGTGCAAGCCCAGAAGAGCCTAAACAGACATGATGATCACATGTCATGTGGTGCCTGGATGGGATTCTGGAACAGAAAAAGAAGGAAGGGAACTTGAATAGAATAAAATATGGATTGCAGTTAATAATAATGTTTCAGTAGTGCTCATTAATTGTGACAATTCTGTAGAAAACTAGAAAGAGAGGGAAAATTAAAGTCAAATAAAAGAAATGTTGCTTCAGATTGGAAACCTAAAAGAAATTGGTGATTTCCTAGTAAAAATACACAGTAACAAAATGGACCCAAAAATAAGAACAATGTAAACAGACCAATTAGCATAGAAAAGCTAGGAATGGTGCTTAGAAATCTCCCACTAGAAAAGACGCCGGACCATTTGGGTTCACAGTTAATAGCTGAGTGTTAAGTGACCTTTAACAAATTCTGATTTTAATAACAAAGTCTGATATGCTTACGTATTTCATTTAGTGTATGATGTCACTGTTTACAGAACAGACATACTTTATGTAATATCACAAATATGCTGCCGATTAAACTGACTTTCTCAACAAAAGGAAAAAGTTGTCAATGAGCTTACTTCCATTAAAGCCAGAAAGGAAAAATTTTCATATATTCTCGTTTTGGTGTAAAGACTGTATTTAAACTTAATGTTGTGAGTTTTAACACACCTCCTTTTCAACGTGTCGATTAACGTGTTCAACAGCATCAACACTGTAACAAGAAAGGGCCATCAGAACACTCACGAGGGCAAGAACACAGGGGCGCTGGCCCTAGGGTGGCTGGTGGGGCCGGCCGGTCCCTGGAGCACGCGCCGCCCTTCGGAAGTACCACTATGACCCTCTTCTGTACGAAAAATGCTGTGTGCCCTGAGTGACAGTGCCTTAATGCGGGGATGCTTTCGTAAAATACCGTTGAACCTTGAACAACTCGGGTTTGAACCACTCGGATCTACTCACGTGTGGATTTTTTTAAATAGAAAATGCTGCAGACCGGATCCACCAACGCGAAACCAGGGTGATGGAGGGCGACCGTCAGTCACACTCCATTCTGACGGCAGAGGGTCGGCACCCCAGCCCCGCTGGCTCAAGGGTCGACTGGAGCCCTGATGAAATTCTAGTGAGAAAATAAAGAGAAACCCTGGGGCAAAACCCCGAGGACGAGATTCCGTGCCCGTGTCCAAGACCAACGCCCGCACTCTGCATTCCCGCCCCCTGTCCCCCGAGTCCCGGCTGGGGACAGCACGGGCTCCGCAGGTCACCAGAGGGTGGCATCTTGCTCAGGGGAAGGACACTGCGGTGTCGTCGGGACCACGAGTGAGGGCAGGCATAGCTTACCCACAACGACACAGCCTTGGAGTGGCGTGGCGCTCAGGCGCCACCAGCACCAAGTGCGTGACTCAGATGAACACGGTCCGGCCACACAGAAGGGCTCCCAGGTGTGTAATCCCGCAGGGGCCCAGGTCAAGCCGCACGAGCCCCGCGGATGCTGTTACAGACACACAGGCCCGGGCTCCCCAGGGGTCGGCTCCAGAAGCGTATCCACACTACACTCACGCACACAAACACACACACACAGAAAATGCCTTGTGAGTGAGGACTGCAGCTATGCTGTCCCAAGACAAGAGCTACCAGAAGCTGGAGGGAGCCCTGAATCAGATCCTTCCCCTGGTGCCCTCAAGGCCTCGCCAACACCTAGATGTCACACTTCCAGTCTCCAGGACCATGAGACAACAGATTTCTGTTGTTCTGAGCCACCTGGTTTGTGGCACCTCATTGTTTTGTTTTGTGGCTGCACCGCACGGCTTGTGGGATCTTAGTTCCCCGACCAGGGATTGAACACGCACCCTTAGCAGTCAGAGTGTGGAGTCCTAAGCACTGGACCGTGAGGAAGTCCCTTGTGGTACTTTGTTACAGCAGCCCTAAGGGACGGATACAGGCACCCTCTGCTCTGTCCCCTTCTCTCCAGACCATGGTGGGTGAGGGTAGAGGCAGGGCCCTTCACAGACAGACCAAGGCCACCGCTGGCTGGTCACGCTTGCCCTGTCTGGGAGCTCCGGACACAGCTCTCGGCCTCCGGGGGCCATGGGAGGATAAGGGGGCTCCCTGGAGCTGGTCGCGCCCCCCCACCCCGTTCCTGGAGCCCAGAAAGCCCAGGAGTAGCCAGACCCCACCCCTCACCGTCCTCTGGGCCCTTCCCCCAGCCATCAGCAGGTTGGAATGGCCGCTATCTGCGTCTTCATCTCAGTAGGGGAGACACAGAAAGAGGCACTCTTGCCTGGTCACTGCATCTCACCAATGTCCCCTGGCTTAGGCTGGCCCTTTCAGTAAGGGCAAGCAGGACAGACTGGGCCAACACCCTCTTCTCAGAAGGGCCTGGGGTCAAGCCAGGAAGCAGGGAGGGAAGCGGTGGGCAGGAGGCCTGATTGGCAGGATGCGGAGGGCAGAGCCCCCTCCCTCCAGGTGCTCTGTGGAGGAGGGGCGAGCCTCTTGCCTCCTTCCCTACATCTGATGCGGCATGGGTGGCCCTCCGCAGGAGGTCCGCTCTGTCAAGGGTCAGCTCCAGAGACTTTAGTCCATTTCCTCCAAAGCAGACCTGATGCAGCTGGCTGAGTCAGGGCTCTGGGACTTTCAGGATGGAGCCCACTGTCTGCCAAGGGTAGGAGGGAGGAAAATGCCCTGGGGGTCCTCATGAGACCCGTTCACCAGAGTCCCGCCTCTGACTGTGACCAGTCCCCACCCAGGGAAACCAGGGTCTGCTGGCCACAGGACACCAGGACAGGCCCAGAGCTCTACATGTTTCCTGGGAAGGTCGAGGGGTGGCACACCCTATAGCAGCCCAGGGCGTTATAACCCCTAACCCCTAACCCTAAAGCACGTTCACTAATATGCTGACATGTGCAGAATTTGAATGAGGGTGAGTGAGTTTGAAGAGCGTGCTTCATGCGGGGACAGGTTGTGTGGGTAAAATGCATTGTGGAACTCAGTTATTTACATCAATCACCGTTTGGGTGAAGGGTAAGTCATAAAGTTGAAGAGTGACTCTTGGTGGCGAGGTGTACACTGTGTGCATGTGCGGGGAACGTCGGTGACGTCTGAGATCCCAGACCTGGGGTCAAAGGGAGAGTAAAGTGTTCACGAATTCTGAGAATTAGGTAAGCACATTAGGGAAACTAATGAATTAGTTAATAGAAAATTTGATGAGAAACAGGCTATTTACATAGCTTCAAAGAACCACCCCCTAAAATACTTACACAAAGAGAAAAAGAGGAACTTTACAGTGGAGAAGCTTGGTCGGCAACACCCTAACCAGGTGATGGAGATGTGCACCATCAGCGGTGGGGTGAGTGACAAGGACACACGCCGCCCAGAAGACGCAGTAAGGACCAAGCGTCACTTCTGGGATCTTCCGTCCAAATGCAACCCCAAATCACAAGGAAACGTCAGACATGGCCACTTTGGGGGACGTTCTGCAGAGTAACCAGCTTGCAATACTCAAGCCGAGGTCATGGAAGGCCAGGAAAACCCAGGGGCTGTGCCAGGCTGAAGGGCACTGAAAGCCCTGTTGAGTAGAGGCAGCCAGCGCTATGGGGCAGATTTGGATTCTCTCACATCCAGGGCATTACTGGGACGACGACCTGAACTCTCACGGGGTCTGGCAAATTAGGTGGCAGTAAAGTACCAGGACTGATTCCCTGATTTCCATGGAGGTGCTGTGCACGTGTAGAATTCCTTATCTGAAGGAAACACATAAAAGTATTAGGGGAATATGATGGGGCAGCAGGTCAGTAACTTGTTCTCAAATGGCTCAAGGGAAAAAAGATCTTTGTACCCCATTTTCAACTTTTGGCCAGTTTTCAATTGTTTCAAAATAAGAAAATGTTCTCAAACTGAAAGGCCCGAGTTTCCGGGAAGCTGGAATGTGAGTGGCCGTCCACGTGGCACCCCTGTCGCTCGTGATGCTCGGCCCTGCTTGTGGTTCCGGCAAGGAAGGTGGGACGTGACGGATGCAGGAGTGCTGGTGCTCTCAGCTGAGACACCGCTCCCGGGAGCTCCCAGTGTCCGCTCAGGCGTCCCAGGCTCTCAGCTGCTCCCACTTCATCCCACCCCCCAGCAAGCACCTGGAAGTGCCCCCGTGGTCCTCTGCCCTCCCCACTCTCCTGTGAGCCCCGAGGGCACAAACCTGACTTTGCTCCCCACTGTACCACTTCTGTTGACCAACAGGATGGGGAGGTGAGGGTCAAGGGCCCATCCCCGGGGAGGACAGTCCCGGGTGCCAAAGCTCAGCCCCTGGCCTGCGCGCTCAGCACACTGCTTCCACCTTGGGGGCAATTCCTCGTTCCCGGGGCAAAATGACCAGGCAAGGGGCAGAGCGCAGAGATGCCCACGGGACGCTGCTTATAACACGGAGCTGGTGGAAAGGATCCGAATATCCCTCACCAGGTCCTGATGCGTGGAGTAGTGCCCTCGCGCTGTGCAATGGGGGCCAGGCCTGGCAGGGGCAGGTGTCCGGGACAGTTAAGTGAATGGGGGAGGGGCGCATCAGAACATTAAACTTTAATTGAACAGAACACTTGGTCGGCAAACACAACGGATCACAACGCAAGGGGAAGGCGCCGCGCCCCAGCCAGCACTCTCCTGCCTGTGGGCCGCACTCACCACGGGGCTGGGCGGGAGGGTGGCTGCAGTGCCACACCCTCCTCTCTGGAGAGGGGCCTGCCTGCCCAGGAGCTTGACTGCAAGCTGCTGCTGCCTGAGTAGAACAGACCCACCTTGGACTTCTGACTTCACAAATGTTTCTCAGATGCTTCTTGCAGTATAGGGAGTTGCCAACCAAACTATTCAAACATGGCAGCCCTCAGTGCTTCTCAGCAGAACCCCCAGGGAACTCTGGGGACCTCCTTCTTCTGTAGGGACAGAGCTCTGCAACTTGTGTTACCAGCTGTCCACACTTGCTCCCCTGGAGCGCTGGCCAGGCTCCCGAGGGGCAGCTCAGCCCAGGCTGCCCCCTGAAAGCTCAAGGAGCATCCTGGCTCCCCAGAAGGCGTCGCTGGAGGTCTGGCCATCGGGCCACTGCACCTGGAATGCCAACACAGCATCACACATGGAGGTGCCCTCTGTGGGCTCTGCCTTCCCATCCGGGTCACCCTGACCCTGGGACCCGCCCCCTCTGGACTCCACCCCATGACACCTGCCTCCAGTTCTCATTCCACCGAAGTCCAGCCTCGAGGAATCCCTGCCCCATGTTCAACTCTGTCCATTTTATTCACTCCAAAGTCCCAAGCTGAGGACCCAGGAGTTAGGAGGGAAACCCACGGTACCTCATAGGAAGGCCTCACCTGGCTGGAGGGCATAGGCTGGCCCAGGTCCATGGCCGGCACGGGGCCAGGGAAGGCAGGCGGGGCCGGGGCCAGCTCCGGGGGGCTGGAAAAGGGACAGTATCAGGACAGGCCCTTTTCCAGGCCCTGTTTGAGGCTCACGCTGTTTACTGTGAGCGCCACACCCTGAGAGCTTTCTGCCCATCAGAAGCCCTTCCTGGTGCCGGACTCTCTTTTGGGAACGGCCTCCTCCTGCAGGGCCCTCAGGTGTGCAGGGTGCTGGAGGGGCCTGTGTGACACCTTGAGCAGGTGGCCAGGTAGTCAGAGAGCACATCAGCACAGGCTCACAGAGGACGGGATGGTAAGCAGAGATGTGAAGAAAAGGAACAGGCCTGAGGTGTGACGGAGCCCAGAGGTCCTTAGGACCAAATCCAGGGTGGCGGCAGGGGACGCAGATGCAGCCGCTCGGGACAATATCATGCGGTCCCTCAAAGTCAGACCACACTCACCCTGTGATCTACTCATCCCACCGCCACGTGCACACCCCCCCAGAGACACGAGGGCAAACACGCAGGCCACCACGCGTCGGGAATGTGCACAGCAGCCCCAAACCAGGAGCTCCCAGATGCCCGCCAACAGATGACGACAATCCACACCAAGGGCTCGGCCTCAGCCATGAAGAGGAAGGGGTGCGGACACACACGGCAGCAGGGGCAGGTCTCAAAGGAGTCAGGCTGAGTGGAAGAAGCCATACCCCAAAAAAGAGTCTACGCTGTATGAGTTCACTTATATGGAACTCTAGAAAACGCAGCTAAAAGCAGGCCCTCGGTCCTGGGGTGGCAGGGGTGGGAACAGCCCTGTGACCCATGACTAGCAGCACAGCTATGGTTTGTAGGAGATACGTAAGTCACGCTCGGAAAACTGTCCTGTGCACCGTCTAAACATGTTGGTTTACTCCAATGAAGCAGTTTTTAAACAAGGAATCAAGGTCACCAGATCAGAGCAAGGATGAGCTGGGGCACTGGAGTCCAAGGGTGATACAGCCAGTGGAGAGGCCCAGCAGGCCATGAGGGGCCCTGTGGCTGCTCTGTGTGGCTCCCGGTCATAAATGGAAAAGTGAGTCCATCAGCATGGTCTGGATTTTCCCACCATCTGGCTGTTTCCACAAGCAGAGCCTCTGACTTGGGAGGCTCCTCCCCTTCTCTCCCATGTCCCCCAGTAATTCTTCCCTCACTGGGCACCTGGCCTTCTGCTCCCAGACTTGGGAGACCCCGAACCCTGGGGACCCTGTCCTGCGGTCCCCATCGTAGATTCCCTCTCCACCGGAGGACCCCTGGCCCGACATCGCCTCCTGTGAAGCCTCTGGACGCTGCCACGGCTGTCCCAAGCCCCTTTAAAACTCCAATTTGGAATATACAATCAGGATCTTGATGCTGTCCAGAAGCTAAAAGTCTTTGGGGAAAAGAAAATGCCTGAAAGAGGCTGCTGGGGCCCAGGGAGAGCTCTGGGACGCGTGAAGGCCTAAGCACCACCCACAGAACGGACGCCCGTATCTGCTCCAATGCTTGTCTGAGGGAGAGACTACCGCCTTCTTTCGGTAGATGTAGGATGGGGGACTGTTGAGGTTTCCAGAAATCCACAAGGAAAGGACGCACTCTGCACCGTTGGAGATGGTGAGTCTGTGCACGAGGCACCCTGCCCACGGCCCATAGGAAGTGTCACCTGAGCCCTGTGGCTCTGCAGCTTACCTCTGGGTGAGGGTGAACTCAGGAGCCTGCAGTGGAAGCCGGGGCACCAGGAAGCCGCTCGCCTGTGGCTCCGCTTGGCCACCGCTGGTACCTGGACCCTCCTCCAGGTATGTGCTCCGGGCGTTGCTGCTGGGAGGGTCAGCGAATCCTGCACGGGAAGCAATCCCACAACCCAGTGCTGGGGGAAGGGAGCACAGTCTACGTGCAGCACAACACAGGCCTCCGTGGAGAGGCAGCCCCCAGCCTCGGCTCCCGCGCTGAGGGAAGAACAGCCACCACTGCTGATCTCAGTGGCCTTTGCAGGCTCCCAAAGACCAAAACAAGGTCAAGTTTTGCTGACCTCAAATTTCTCTTTGTCATTCTAGATCTCATGCCAGCCCCAGTGCCAAACAAAGACTCAGCACCCCAGTCCGCCCTACACCCACCACGGCTGTCTGAGGAGAGACCCCGCGGTGTCCCCCGTTCACCACAGGCTGGCCCAGCCCACGGCCATTGCCCTCCCCTTTCACCTTGGGTTTCACCATGATTTCACTGCAGTGCCAGGTGTTACTACCTTACCTTGCCTTTTCTCTCTACTTAAAATATTGTAGAAAATCTCTCAGCGTGTCTGTCTTTCACCCTAAAAGGCAAGCCCCTGTGGACGTGATCAATTCTGGGTCGACAGACGTTTAGGAGCAAAGTGAGCTAAGAAGGAAGGTCCATTGCTGCCCTAAGTCTATCCAGGTGGTAAAACTAGCATGCATCCCCGATCTCAGACCCCAAACAACAGTCCTCCCTCCTGTCTGCCAGAGCCGAGACCTTCCTAACCATTTGGTGCATGACTCTACCTCCGCCTTCTGCTGTTTCCCCTTTCCTGCAGAACTTTACAGATAGTCTGAGGTCCAGGAAATATGGTTAACTGCTAATTTGAACATTTCCAGTTTACACAGAATAGATCAGTGGGTTTTATCTTCTTCCTCCAAGAAAAACAGAAATAAAAAGCCCGAAGCCTAGAACAAAGGGAGTGTCATGGGAAGGGTAATTGGCAGGTGGGAGATGTCCATGTTCTGCAGATGCAGGGCACAGGTCTGATCCCATGGTGGGGGCTGTCTGAAGGGAAGCTGGGGCATAAGCAGGGGCCAAGGACCCTGAGAGGTTTGCAGGGAGGGAGGGAAAGCAAGGTGCTCAGGCAACCGGCAGGGAGCTCTCCAATTCCCAGAGAACACACCCCTCACATAGGCTGGACACGGTGTAAAGACCAGCTTCCCTCCTCCCAGTATGAGGCTGGCCACTGCCCATTCCAACTCCAGCCTTGTTAGTAAACATGGACAGGAAAAGGTCTCTGAAATCAAAGACCAATTCGATCAGATGGAAAAGCTGCCTCGGAGAAATGAGTCTCCAGGCTCTTCCTCTTTGGGGCACCTCTTCCTCCTCTGTTCAAGGAAGGGCCTGAATCCACAACCCCAACATTCCCCCCTTCAGGCAAGAAAGCACATTTTCTGAAACTACTAACTAGGATACTCAGAGAAATATAAGATACTGCATCTATAAAAAGTAATACAATCGGGGCTTCCCTGGTGGTGCAGTGGTTAAGAATCCACCTGCCAATGCAGGGGACACAGGTTCGAGCCCTGGTCCCGGAAGATCCCACATGCCGCAGAGCAACTAAGCCCGTGTGCCACAACTACTGAGCCTGTGCTCTAGAGCCTGCGAGCCACAACTACTGAAGCCCATGCACCGAGAGCCGATGCTCTGCAACCTCAATGAGAAGCCTGCACACCACAACGAAGAGTAGCCCCCGCTTGCCACAACTAGATAAAGCCCGTGTGCAGCAACGAAGACCCAACACAGCCAAAACTAAATAAATAAATTTATTTTTAAAAACTTATTAAAAAACAAAAACAAGTAACATGATCTATGAAGAAAGGAAAATCAGAAATAAGAAAAGAGAGCTTGGGGAATTTCCCTGGTGGTCCAGTGATTAAGACTCCATGCTCCCAATACAGGGGGCCCAGGTTCAATCCCTGGTCAGGGAACTAGATCCCTCATGCCTCAACTAAGAGCCTGTACGCGACAACTAGAGACCCCACGTGCCGCAACTAAGACACGGCACAGCCAAATAAATAAATAAATAAAATTTTAAAAAAAAGAAAAGAGAGGTTGGAGTTCTCTTAAAATGTATAATTGTCAAAATATCAGAAGACAAAGTTTAAGACAAAAGCACATACAATAAAAAAGAAATTTTTTAAAAAAGGTAAGCATTTTGGGAGATTGGTCCAGGATTTCCAACATCCAAATAACATTTGTGCTCTAAAGAGAGAACTGGAAGGAGGAAACTATCAAAGAAAATCACAAAAAGTGCCCAGAGCTTAAAGAATACCTTGTTCTCTGGTTCTTTAAATTGAACAACAAAGTGAATTCAAAAGACTCACACCTGGGACCATCACTGTGAAATTTCAGAACACCAAGACTTCAAAAATAAAAAGCTCCAATAAAGGAAAAATACGTGAACATCAGAATGACATCTAACTTAAAATGACAACATTGGATACTATAATTGGATGCTATGTTGCTTTCAAATTTCTAAGGTAAAAAGTATTTTAGGGCTTCCCCGGTGGCGCAGTGGTTGAGAGTCCGCCTGCCGATACAGGGGACACGTGTTCGTGCCCCGGTCCGGGAGGATCCCACATGCCGCGGAGCGGCTGGGCCCATGAGCCATGGCCGCTGAGCCTGCGCGTCCGGAGCCTGTGCTCTGCAACGGGAGAGGCCACAACAGTGAGAGGCCCGCGTAAAGAAAAAAAAAAAAAAAAAAGTATTTTAAACTCAGAATTCTGTCCCTGACAAGTCGTTAATCAAACTTGAGGGCGGATTAAAGACAATTTCAGAAGATGCAAGGAAACAGACACTACCTTGAAGGCACCCTTTCTTATAGAGTTAATTAAAGACATTCTCTAACATAACAAGAGTCAAGAAAGAAAGAACAAGACTTGCAATTAAGGAAACGCTGAAGCAAACCCAGGGAAGCAGTTAAAGGTGCTCCTGGGATGACGGCTCCACACCAGACTGGGAGCAGGAAGGAGGCCCTGGCAACAAGTCTTCAAAGGGGATGCTTAAGACACTGCAAGAAGTTAGGGATGTGATAGAGCAGACAATGTAAGAAAAAAGGGAGGCAATGACAAACTACAAGACGACCTGTATGGAACCACAGAAGACTAAGAAATTCAGGTGACAGGCTGAGTTCAGTGCCAACATCCTCCTTAGAAGCTGGGATGTCACAAGATGCTATCGTTTGGTGCACGAAATGTATACCTGAATACGTATCCTTTAAAGGTATCTATAGCGACAGCTACGACTAAGGAAGAAGCCAGGAGGGAGCTGGAGGTCTGAGCAGCTCAGCCCCGCCGTAGCAGATGCTGACTGGTTAGGCACAGGGACTGGAGCCCGGGCCGGCAGTCATTTCATTTCATTTTAACTCTTTCCTCACCAGCTTATTTTTTTAGTCACATGCACATTTTATTTTGAAAACAAAAATAAAATGAAAACTATCCAGGCTGTTGGTGGGAAGAGCCTGTTCCAACTGCACTGGTTTGGGGTCTAATCAAGTATAAGAGATTCAAGCAGAAAGTCCTGGCCCCTCAAAATTCTTCCCCGTCAAATAACATACAAGCAGTTGAAGCATCTGATGTAGAAACACATGGTCTGTCTAGCGTAGACCCACCTGTGGGGCTGGCCTCACCAAGGGCGGTGATGGACACAGCCAGAGGAGCATCTGCAGGGCGCATCGTGAGGTCCAGCCCGTGACTGTGGATCAGTGGCCTAGTCTGGAAGGAAACTTCCTTGGAGGATTCCAGTGCAAGAGACGTCAGCCACGACTCGGGGGCACCCAGAGAGGGATCCAGCATGTCGCTGCCAGCAGCCAGAGGGCAGAAACCAGAGCCAGGGAAGACGGGAGGAAGAGTGGCAGGATCGTGGCTAGGCCCCTCCTGGTACATCTCACCACCCTGCAGAGACCTGGGGAGCAAAGTGAACACCATCCCTCAGGCTGGGGTAGTGGGGCCTGGGAGGAGATTCCAGCCCAGTTTGGGAATCTGGGCGGCGGACTCAACGCAGCCACAGATGGCTGTGGGGTCCACCCCAATCACGCTGCCTCCACAGTTCTCCCTGGGGCTGCAAGGGTTCCAGAGACACAAAAAATACTAGCCCTGGAAACCTAAGATACGTTAGCAGTTTATTTACAAGGGCCTTCAATGAAACATTGCTCCACAATATTGAGGACTGAAAATGATTAGCAAGAACCTAATAGGTGAAAGATTAAATGAAGGTGGATCTTAAAGGAGTGCTAGGCAGCAGTTAACAATTTAAAGAATGAAAATATTCCCCAAATGCTCCCTGTGTCTCAGATGGTGCTCCTGGGCTTCTGTTAACAACCCCCCGCCCCTGTAATCTGTGTAATGACATGCGTGGCAGGGTCCATCACTATCCCCATTTCACAGGTGAGAAAAAGCAGGCACTGAGAGGTCACGGGAACCTGCCTAAGGCCACACACCTGGGTAGTGCCAGCCTGGACGTGAGGTGCCAGCCCAGGCAGTGTCATGAGAGATGCTTAAAACACAAGCGTAAATGGAAAAAGTGGGCACAGCGTGATGTTTACGCAGACGTGGACCTGGTCCCACACTCAGACTCGGTCCCGCTGCGGCTGGCACTTTCCTCACAGCAGTTTGTGTGGCACCACAGGGGCAACAGGGTGAGGGAAAGCGGTTAGGCAGAGCCTGGTCTGTAGCAGGAACTCAAGAAATGTTGGCTGTTACTAACCTAATGATATACCAACCATACCAAATGCTAGAGAGAAACAGACCACGAGGACAGCCGGTTTGCCTTTAGGAGATAGGTCTGCATGTTTTTCTTTCTGTTTTCCCCATTCACCAAAATGTACGGGAAGTCAGGCTGTGAGTCCGGCTCCAGGGAACAGGTTTGGAGTCCATGACGTGGGCTCCTTGCCAGTGGCTCCCCTGTACCTGGGGTCTCAGCTGAATCTGCCCTCCGCCATCACTGAGCTGGTCCCAGTGCCCGGCAGGCATTCCTACGCCCACTCCAGGCCTGGTCTCCCACTGAAGATGGGGAATTGAACAGGGAACGGTCCCATGGCCCACGTGGATGGCAGTACCTGGGAGCCAGTGACTTTGGCATGGTCTCGTCTCCAGAGAAGTCTGGGGCCAGGACCAGTGGCTCCCACGGCCCTTGGGTGGTCTCCTGGGTCTGTACAGACCCACTTTCCTCAGGTCCTGCTAAAAGCCGATCAGACAGAGGGGAAGTTGGGTGATGCTCAGGGTCCCAGCTTCCTTCCCAGCAGGTTAAGAACAGCCATGCTGGCTGCCCAGTATTCTTTGTTTGTCCCCTGATCTGTCTTTGGTCTGAACCAACACCCATAATTAGGAACCCGGAACACCCTAAATTCTAGTGCTTGGCTCCCTTCCCACTGACTCCTGGCCCTGGCCGCAAAGTAACCTCTCAACGCAAAACGCTGCTGCAGCCCCACCTGGGCCCATCCTGAGTCCAACCTGACCCTCAGCTTCAGCGATCTTGCTTCCCACAGGGTGAAGTACCGAACGTGCAGGCGGAGGCTGGCGGAGAGGACCCTGTCCTGTAACCAGTGACCCTACCTCGGCCTGGCCCTAGACACAGGTTTTGGGAGAGGGGCCACTCACCCGACCACTGAGGCCTGTCCACGCACCCAGAGCCAAGGTGGGGCTGGCCTATGGGCTGCGGGGGGATCGGGCCGGCCTCCCTCGCGGTGTGGTCCTCCGCCGAGTCGCGGGCTGGCGCCGCGCGCTGCACAAGGGCCCTCTGGCGCCGCCGGTAATTGGCGAACCAGTTGTAGATCTGCTCCGTGGTCAAGCGCGTCTCCGAGGCCAGGTCCTCCTGCGCCGAAACAACACGCCGCTTGCCCAGCCCGCTCCTGAGACGTGGGGCCGGGACACCAGCGGGCCGGGACACAGGGCGGCCGGGGCATCATGCAGGCCGGCGCCGTGGCCTCTGGCCTTGTTCCTCCTCAAGCCGCCGCCCGGCCGACGGCCACTCGCAGCCGGGAGGGCTCGGCAGGGCTTGCAAACCGGACCCTCCCGAGGCGCCACCAAACCACTGACCGCCCGCCCGCCGGGCCGGTGCGAGAGCGCGTCGGCCTCGACCGACCCTGTGATCAAGCACCTGTCCTTCCTCAGGAGCCAGATCCGAACCACCACGGGCCACAGCACGGAGCTCCAGGAGGGCCCCGCTGATTGGACCCGGAGAGAAGGGAGCACGCCAGCTTTATGAGCGGCAAGGCTCTTACTGCTGCCCCCTCTACCTGCTCCCGAGAGCTCACCCATGCATCCCTCCTGCTGGAGTCCCGGCCGCGGTGAGTGCTCAGTGAGCACCTGCTGAAGCCACACTGGATGACGGGGTATTAAGACTCCCGTGATGAAACTAACCCCGCCACGTGTGCAGGCGGCTGCCAGCCAAAGAGTGCCGTCCCCAGGGCAGTTCAGGGCAGGCGGAGAGCGCCAGCGCCCTGGCAGATATGCCACTGGGGAGGCGGGGAGGTGCGGCTGAGGATGCGGGTCAATCCCCTAAGGGTGGTGATGTCACCTAAGGGTGGGAGTCCCCTAAGGACCGGGGAGGGTAGGCTAAGGGGAGGGTTGCCGGGTCTCGCTCTCATCTGCTCTTACCCGCTCGGCCTTGCTGGGGTTGGTGCTCACACCCGAAGCAAACTCCTGCAGCTTCTGGCGAACTTCTCTGGGGAAGTTCCGGCTCTTGAGGCCATCAGGGCAGAGGGAGGCAGGCGGTGGGTTCCTGGATGAGAACAGTGAGACCCCCGGCTTCTTCTGTTGTACCTGCTGTGCTCCCCTGGACTTCCTGTCCTTTCACTGGCCACCCCCCTCCCCTGCAGGACTGTGTGCTGCAGTCCCCGGGTCCATCCCCTGAACAAGGGTGGGGTCTCGTGTTGCCTGGGCCCACACCCCACACTTTCACCAGGGTTTCCAGTACCACTCACTGACCAGTGGCCATGACTGTTAAAGCTGGGGGATGAGGGTAGTGAGATTGGTTATGCTACCCTCTTTACTGAGTCTATACTGGAATTTTTCCAAAAGAAAAAAAGTGACATATAAGCAAACAGCACCGGTCTATACAAGATTTGCTAGCCAAATGCCAATTGAACAAACCCCCATGAACATCGAAAACACACCCCACACATCCCAGTGGAGCTCAATCTCCCGCTCCCCACACCGTCCCCCAGCCCATCCTGCGCATCCCAGTGAGAGAGCACCACGTCCCTGCCAATCAGGCCAAGAGCCCTGCAGCCAGGTTTATTCTCTTTACCTTCTCCAGTACATTCAACCTATCGTTAAATCCTCTAGAGTCAATCCTGACACAACCCTTTCCCCAGCCATGGCCACTCCCAGACACTCCAAGAACCTCCCGCCTCTGCCCCTGCACTAACCGTCTGCTGTGGCGCCAGCGCCACCCCTCCCTACGCCCAGAGCACGCCTGCCCCGTGCTCCAGCGTCACCCCTCCCTACGCCCAGAGCACGCCTGCCCCGTGCTCCAGTGTCACCCCTCCCTACGCCCAGAGCACGCCTGCCCCATGCTCCAGTGTCACCCCTCCCTACGCCCAGAGCACGCCTTCCCCGTGCTCCAGCGTCACCCCTCCCTACGCCCAGAGCACGCCTTCCCCGTGCTCCAGTGTCACCCCTCCCTACGCCCAGAGCACGCCTGCCCCGTGCTCCAGTGTCACCCCTCCCTACGCCCAGAGCACGCCTGCCCCGTGCTCAGGCCTCCCCCAGGCTCAGCCCCGTGCTGCAGCCCGAGCACAAGCAGAGGGCCAGCGAGTCACAGCCCTCTACTGAACGAGCTCCGTCCAGCATTCCTTGCTCTAAATTATGGGATCTGCTTTGTTTCCTGGTCTACTGTCCATCATCCACACCCGCAGGCAGCTCCAGGACAGCAGGGCCCCAGCACCTCTAGTAACGCGCAGCAACCAGGGGCCTCTTCACAAACACTGCATGCTGGTCCCCAAGGCATTTACTTTGCTGAGCCACCCTCTGGCAGGCTGTCAGAGCCTATATGGAGGGACCTGACTGCATCCCTGAAGACCTCAAGGCTGACTAACTGCTGGGCTTTGAGGGCATATCTGGTGCGCACCATGAGAAAAATTCCGTCTGATCCAAAAGGAATCCATCTCTTCTTCCATCAACCAGGCCCATGGCTCAGAAACTCCTGTCACTTGGGCTTTCAGGAGCTCAGAGCAAGACCTGCAGCTCCTCCTGGCCAGTGGGGGACACCCAAGGTCAAGAACAAAGGCTCTCCAGTCTCGATGTCTAGGCTGGAATCCTGCCTTTGCAGCTCTGTAGTGTGTAACCAGGCAAGTGACTAACTTTTCTGTGCTTTGGTGTCCTCATCCACGAACGGTGATGATGGTAATGACGATAACTAGTAGTCATAACGTGTACTTAGTGCTGATAATGGTCATGGTGGTAATTATTATCAACATCCATCCAGCAGCCACCGTGTACCAGACGGCCTTCTAAGCACTACGTGTATCTCATGTGGTGCTTGCAGACCCTCACCTTTCTCTCTCTCTTAAAGGTCCTGCAGCCCTGAGGGGCCATGCTGGGATCCGGGCCAGGCACCTGCAGAGCCTGACCACGGGCATTAGCTGAGCTGAGGGGCACCCATCCTGCAGGAAGCGAGCGAGGTCAGGGTGCCCACCTGCCGCCTCCCTCACTGCAGGGCCCTCACTGACAGGCAGTGGCTCCTGCTGCAGCTACAACTTTCGGCCTGGGTCCTGGGAACAGTTCACCGTCCTCGCCCTGCGGGCACAGGTCGGAAAGCGTCCCCACAGCCAGCCGAGCAGTGGAGAGGAGGGCAACTGCTGCTGTGGAGCTTATTACCCTCTGTCTATCACTGCTTCCTCTTATCTCCCTGCCTCTACTTCACCTAAGTCCTTCTGTGGTCTTGGAGGGCAAATCCCTTGGGAGCCCCGGGGAATAAGCACCAATGAAGGCTGGTGCATACCTCTTCCTGCACCGGAACTTCTGCACCGGGGTCAGCGTGGCCACGCCGAGCCTCTTCATGACCAGACGGTAGTGGATGTCATTCCAGAGCTGCACCAGCTTCAGGCTGCCACCCGGCACCCGGCATCCCTGTGGACAAGAGCCTGCTGAGACCCGGCACGCTTGCCTGCCCCGGAGCCCCGCCGTAGACCCAGACTGACCGCTAAGAACATCCGCTTGCTGGTGCCCCACGGCGAGGGCATGAGCTCCATGGCCGGGCTCCTGTCCCCAGCAGGCCCTCCCACGAATGGGAGGCGGGCACAGCTCTCCCTCGCCCCCCAGGTGAGGGCCAGGCAAGGGGAAGGCCAACTCCGGGCTGTGGCCATAGCACCCAAGAGGCCGAGCCGTGCTGAGAACCACATGGTCAGGTCTGAGGGGCCTGAGGCTTGATCCCCGTCCTGCGTGAAAGGCCTTTATCTCCCACCAGCAGGGCAGGTCCCTAGGGCTCAGTGAGTTCAATCTGAGCTGAGGGGGACGAAGGGGTCCCGGTCTGTGCCAGTGACAGCTCCCCAACCCAGTGTGGCTTGGTCATGTAACCAGACTTTAGAGATGGCCAAGGACGCTGAGTGTGGGCCTACCCTGGACACAGCCCCTGTGGTCAGTATGTGGTTCTTGCCTCTAACCCCAGTGTTCTCAGGCCCATCTTGGTGAGGGAGGTGCTGAGAATCATTTAGCTTCCTCTCAACAGCATCAGAAAAAGCGCATTTTGCTGGGCTGAGGCCTGCAGTCTCCTGCTAGGATGCAGACGTCAGCACAACTGTCAGACAGGGAACCCACTTGGAGCCTCCCCACCTGCAGGAGTGGCCCTTGGCAGGAAATGCCCTTTCTTGATGTGGTAGCCCCATCCTTTCTCTCAGGTCTCAGAACACATCACTTCCTCAGAGACATTTCTGGACCATCCTGAGTTATTCCCATCCTGGGAGTCTTCCATCACTGATGTCACGCTCACATTCCATCACTGATTGCCTTCACGGCAGCTACTTCAACTCTGTGTGTTCACCCATTTATTCTGACATTTGGAAGGCTGAGCCCTCTTATGTTCCAGGTGTTATGCTGGGTGTTGGGGATACTTTAATGGGCAGAACTAACACGCCCCTGCTCCTGGGGCCTGCAGTGCAGGAGGGGAGGCGGATCACAGATCGAGAAATAGACAGGTTTCTAACCGTGAGCTGAGGAAGGAGCCACAGAGGGGGATGAGGGCTCCCTTAAGTCCTAGCTCGACGGGGTGACGTTTAAAGCAGAAACCAGACAGGTAGGAAGGCACCAGCCACACAGAGTGGTGTCCAGCCTCTGGCAGAGGGAACGGCACGCACAAAGGTCAAAAGACAAAGATCTCGGGAGTTCCAGGAGAACGGCAAGCAGCCAGCACCGCCACCGTGCGGGAGCCAGGACGGGATGGCAGGCTCTGGACCCGCGCCTCGGTGCGTACCGTGGTCCCATCTGCAGTTTTAAAACTGCCTCTGGCTGCTACGTGAAGACTAATAGAGGGGGCAGGGGAGGACACGGTGGTGGGGCGTGAGCGCCAGGAGGGTGCCGCAGGGCTTGGGGGAGAGGGAGCAAAAACAAAGAACGGGGCAGAGTTTAGTATCTTGAAGGTAAACTCAGCATGAGTTATGCATGGACCGTATTATGGAGTGAAAAAGGGAAACACAGGCCCCCAAATCTCTTATTAAAACTTTTTGATCCAGATGTATTTTGGAATTCAGAATTCCTCACACTTTAGGAAGTAACACAGGTATATACTACATAATTTGCACTATCCCAGTACCATCTAGGGCAGGAAGCATCCTGCAAGCAAACACACCAGGATTTGGGTAGCAAAACGTACGGCAGTAACATTAAGTGGATAAATAAAGACAAAAATAGTTTCCCATCAATGCAGCTCAGGTTTGATGCCAACTGAGTTGAGGTTCAAAGTACCACCGGAGGAGTGACAAAGATACTTGTGGTCTCAGAGTTCCCGGATGCAGACCCGCAGCTAAGGGACTGCGGTCCTGGGTCTGTTTGCTTGCCTCACTAACCGGAGTGCCAACTTTCCAAGCCAGGACCACTGGTCCAGGACCAGAGGGATCCGACAGATGGTCAGTTCTGTCTCGGGTTAGCAGGCAAGTTAGAACCTAGTACAGTGAGAGTGGACGGCCCTGGCTCGGCTTCTAGCAGCTCTCCCCAGGCTCCTGCTGACTCCTGGGCACTTCTGTCGTCTTCTGGCTGCTGTGGGCTGCTGCCCCTCTCCCCGCCCCACCCCGGTCCTACCTCTAGCAGCTGGCAGGCAGCCCGGTTCTGCTCCTGCTGGGCCAGCACGCTGGCGCACACCAGGGCCACGTCCGCGTTGTCCAAGAGGTACAGGCGGAGCTGGCTGTCCAGCACGGCCGTGACCAAGGTCTGCACCTGGGCGGGGTCGTCCTGGACCTCCCGGCACAGCCTGCCTGCGAGGGTCACCAGGTCCGCCAAGGGCAGGCCAGCACCTCCGCTTCCCCTCAGCAACTGCAGGAAGCTCTGCATCCCGAGTCGGGTTGGACTCCTCTGCAAACAAGACGAAAGTCAGGACCACCACCAGCGCTGATGGGCTGACTGCACGTCAATCCTCAGACCAACAATGCGAGGCCTCTCCCGCCACAGGTACTTGTATCGCGGCAGCAGTGAGAGAGGGCGGCGCGTCAGAGCCCGCCAGACTTTCCTTGTAGTCGCCACAACAGCGTAGACCCTGGCGGTGCACCAAGGCCCAGCTCGCTGCTCTCGCTGCCAGACTTCTCACTCTGCACGCCTGGAACCTCTATCTGGTGCCCTCGTGCCCCTCACCCGCCGCGCCACCTCTCTGTTTCCCCCACTTCTCACACCGCTTGTCACTGCATTTCCTCCTTCCTTCTCCGGGGTCTATGGGGGACAGGCCCACCTGCGCTGGGGTCATCAGATCCCCCCAGCATCTGCCAGACAGAGAGCAAGGCCTCTCGGAGCGGGTGGGCAGAGCCGCGGGCCAGGGGTTGCGCAGGCGCCCTAGGCGCTCCTTCGGAGGGGAGTCAGAGGCCCGCTGAGGCGGGACCAGCAAAATTTGCTTTTAACTATTTTAATTTTGGGGGAAAAAAACCCTTATATTTGAAAACCACAAACATTTAAGGGTTGCTCTAGTCCGAAAAATTAATAAAATTAGAAAGGGAAGGGAAGAAGGAAAGAAGGAGGGACGAAGACAAGGAAACAGAGAAAGAGAAAAGGAGGGAGGGAGGGAAGGCACCGAGACAAAGAAATGAACACGTGCCGGCCTCCGGCACAGTCCTGCTGGAGTTTGGGCTCCCTGCCCTCACATCGCCTCGGGCACCAAGCTTCCCGCTCTGCCCGGTGAGGGCACAGGCTGAGAGCTGAGGTAACCTGCAAAGGCCCGAGGGCAGGGGCCTGGCCAGACTGGCTTCCGTGCGGCCCGTTGCACCCCAAAAGCCCGCTCTGCCGCCCTCCCACCCCGACACAAACAGGTGAGCCACGGCAAGCTGGACCGAAGGCTTTGCAGTGTTCTAGAAAATTACCGTCTAACTATGCAAACAGACACCAAGTTTTAACAGCAGAGGGAGTCTTTTTTATGGCGATACTCAGTCGGGCCAGCACCGCAGGCATGACTCCCGGTCTGCGCCGGGTCCTGCAAAGCACCCGTGCGAGGCGCGGCCATAACGGGCGCCGGCAGCTTGCCAGCCGCGGCCGCTGAGGCGGCTGGCGATCGCTTTTTCAAACAGCACGTGCAGACCTGTGTCCACAACTACCTCACTTCTGTGGAACAGGCTCCTGGAGGCGAGGGTAAGGGCGCGTTTTCAGTCGATGCTGCCAAACCGCTGTCCGCAAAGGTTGAGACAACCTGCGGAGAACTGCCACGCTCCCGGCGGAGGGTCTGGCCTGCTTCTAGCTCTTTCCTCCCGGCAGGGCTTCCAGGGCGCCCACCAGGGGACGCGCTCTCGCCGCCGCTTCCGAGCCTCAGCGCCTTGTCACGGGCTCCTGCCTCGGGGCCCCACGTTTCTTCCCGTCGCGACTGGCAGGAGGCCCGCGACCCCGCACCCTTCGAGCGACCCGGGTGTCCCCAGCGCCGACAGCCCCGCCCCACGCTGCTCCAGGAAGGGCGGGAAGGAGGCCAAGGGCCGAGCTCATGGAGAGGGTCCCGGAGTTCGGGAAGGAAGTGGGTTCGGGGGGCACCCCGAACACTGAGGGGACCCGGCCCGGCGGGGACAGAGGGGGCGGGGGGCAGGCGGCTATGCCCTGCGTCCTGCCCGTACACCTCCGTCTGGCCGTGGCCCTGCGCCGCCGGACCTCTCCCGGCGCCCTTCTCCCCGCGGGGCCCGAGAAGCCTCCCCGGCGGCCGGCCCCGGACGCCGGACTCAGTCACCGTCGCCCGGACGAGCCCCTCGTTCACTCACCTTCATCCGCACGCCACCAACACACCCCAGCCAGGCGCCCGGGGCCGCTTCCACGTTCGGCGCGCACGTGCTCCGCCCGCACGTCCGGGGAGGCGGCGGGAAGGCGCGGTTGATACAGAGTATCCAGGCCTCCGCCAATCCCTGCAAGGGCCCCGCCCGATGACCCCCGCCCGTGCCCTGCGCCCCCTAAGTCCCGGGGCCTGCGGTTCCGCCCACCTGGGTTCGGGGCATTCCGGTGGTTCTTGGGGAGCCGAGAGGTTCTCGGGGGTCCATGGCATTCGGGGGGCTGCACGGGAGCCGACAGGTTGGGGGGCGAGGGCGGGGCGTCGGAGGCGCCATCCAGCCTGGTTCTGCGCGTCCTCAGGCCCCAGAAGGAGCAGAGCCGGGGTCCTGGGGGTCCTGGGCTGGGGTGGAGGAGAGGGCGCCACGACCCCCGCCCCTGAAGCAGGAGGAAGCTGTGACCCTGGATTAACCCCACGCCACCGCCCTGGAGCTCTGCGGAGACAAAGCCCGGCTGGGGTCGTAGCCCAGGGGGCAGACACCCCCGCCCTTCCCGTGCCCCCGCAGCTCCAGCCGGAGGCCCCCGGTGATCCCACCCCCGCCTGACCCTGGGGCGCAGCTGCGCGCGGCGGAGAGGTCTTCGCGACGGTGGAGGCCTGGGGACCCGAGTTCTCGGTGACCCTGGTCAGCCACGCAGGGGAAGCCTCTGAAGTGCCGCCGTCCTGGCTCGGACACGGTCTGGCCTCTCCCCTGTGCAGTTTAGTTTGGAGAGATGTTGCACACAGCGAGCCGGAAGGCGCTCTAGAGAGGAGACCAGGAGGGTTTCGAGTTGCTTTTGGAAGGGTGGTCAGGGCAAAAATTCTCTGACGTCAAAGCTCATGCCTGAACGTATGCAAAAGACTTAGGCAGAAAGAGAAACATTTCAGCGTTTGTTCACTTGAAATTCTGGAAACGACCCAAGAGTCTGGTGGAATATTGCTAAACACATCACACTTCAGAAACAGGATGGGCTCCTGGAGGGTAATTAGTAGTTGCCGGGAGAAAGAATGCTTCCTGACCGGACTAGTGATACATTGTACAATAAAAACGGCTGTTACAAAGCAATGTGGGTGAGACGAGCCCATTTGAAAAGTACAGACACAAAATGATGTATGCCACATCGTTAAACCCTGGTTGCCACCGGGTGACAAAATTATTGTTTTATTACTTTTATTTGGCTTTTAGATTTTCTTCGTTTGCTTATCCATGTTTCCCAATTTTTATAAAAAGATAATCTTCTGTTTTTCTCGTTTTAAGGTTCTTTTCAAGAAGTGAGAGAAAAAACATTGACAACAGGGTTGGGGGAAGCAATCCCCACCGTCCAAGTATACTAAGGCGGATATGGGTGAACAGAGAGGAAATTGGAGATTTGCTGCAGGAAACCCTCCTGTTGTGGGAATGTGATCACAGGCCCTTTCTCCGGGACCGGCTGGTGCTCAGTGAGAATATTCCTGGTTGCACTCCACCCATGAAGCATCAATGAAGTTAAAACCTCAATGGAAACCAAAATGTCCAAGCACCTACGTTATTAAATTTAAATGTAATTCAACAAATTTTATGATTCTAGTGCATTGTTATAAAATCAGTTACTTTTTTTGGCTGCCAGGTGAGAAGTTACTGTTTACACACATTGTCTTATTTGAGCCTCCCAAGCCACCTCTGAGCGAGTTATGTTCCCTTGTTACTAAAAAGGAAATAGGTCCAAGTGCATTTAAAACACTTCCAACCAATAAGTGGCCTCCTTTAACTGTCAGACTCAAAAGCATACATTCTTAACGTAAGCACATAATAATTCCAAATATTCTAAATCGGGGAAACTCTTCATAAGCTTCATTTTTTTTTTTTTTTTTGCAGTATGCGGGCCTCTCACCGCCACAGCCCCTCCCGTTGTGGAGCACAGGCTCCGAACACGCAGGCCCAGCAGCCATGGCCCACGGGCCCAGAAGCTCCGCGGCATGTGGGATCTTCCCAGACCTGGGCACGAAATCGTGTCCCCTGAATCGGCAGGCAGACTCTCAACCACTGCGCCACCAGGTAAGCCCCATAAGCTTCATTTTTAATAGAGGTCTGATCTTCCAACAAAAGGTGATTATCCAGCACCCACTGTAAATAGAGGCTGCCTCTCTCGTCCGTGCTCACTGGTCTGAAATGCAGTCATTACCACATAAAGCACCCTAAGGCATACCTACCTGCTGCTTCCGGATTTTCTATTCTCTCTGGACCCAGGCTACCTGGGGCGGACTCCCAGTTTAATTGCTTAATAGCTGTGTGACTTTGGACAAGGTACTGATCCTGTACCTTCTCTCCTCTTGGTAAAGTTTATGATTTGTAATAATAACAGGCCCTCTTTCCTCTTTGGTTTGAGACCATTAAATGAGTCAGTACTCTGCACGCGCTATCTTCTTTACCATTTTGTTTCTTACCCGCGTTGTTCACTTTTAACACATTGAAAATCTGGGAACTTCCCCCTTAGTCCTAAGGGAACTTCCCCCTTAGGACTTCTCCTTTTCAGAAATGTCCTGGCCACTCATGTACTTTCCCCCATAATGAGTAGCTGAACACATTTTTAAAAATCCCTGATCCACGGAAGGCTGCAAGCCCATCTAGATACAGCCTCCTAAGAACCTCTACTTCACCCTGAACCCCTCTTCCCTCCAGGGAATTACCTTCGTTCCCAGAGGTCCCCCTGGGGGAGTTGCTCGCTCACCTGCACTGCCCCAGGAAGCCTTCTCGAAGCCCAATCTGTCTGTATATTGGGGTGCTTGTAGCCATGGGAGACCAGTCCTTTGGGCCGTTCGTGGGTTCACAGAACTACGGGGAGCAGGCCGTCTGGGGAACACCCTTGGGAAACCGATGCCTGACAGAAAAAGAGAGGGGATGTGTGACGTCTTGGGTAGAGTGGTGAGAAGGACAGAGGGAACGTAAACAAGAGCTTGAAAGAGTGACTCAGCTGTCCTTCCTTTCTTGGAAGATGGCAGATGCAGGTGGGGCAGGGAACAGGAAAACCCTCCCAACATACTGACCCAGAGGCACTAGGAATGCTTTTTTTTTTTTTTCTAGAGAAAATATTAAAAAAAATTTTTTTAAAGATGAGTATTACCGATTTTTCCTTCTGCTTCAGGCTCAGAGGTGGCTGGGCAGTGGTGCTGTGCCCAAACAAGACCCACTTCACCTGCTACAAACCTTCGTTCCCTCTGGTAGTAGGTCAGGTGCAGGGAGGGGGACAGGGACTCAGAGTCCAGGGTCTATTTACTGAGCATGCGGCACTCTGTGAGGTGGGTATTTTGCCATCATTCCCATATGACAAGATGCCCATCAGAGAGGTTAAGTCACTGGTCTAGTCACAGAACTGGTAGAGGGTGGGTTTGAGGTTAGCCCGCTCCCATCTGGCCCCCAAGTGTTGGTTTTCACGTCAACCAGCAGCACACTGACTCGGAGGGTGGGAGAGGAGGGAGGTCTCCCTGCGCACTACATTATCGTTACTCAGTAACCATGCTTTTTACACTCCAGGCCCAGGCTGCACACTGACATCACAGATGAGTGAGTGTCCCTCCGTTTGAGGAATCCATCCTCTCAGGACCTGTTGATTGCCTAGTCTGTGAAGAGCTGGAAAAAATCTATTTTGTCGTTGAAACAAGCCTAAGTAGATACTTAACCAAAAGCATTTTAAATTAACATAATATTACATGTGAAAACTTGAACAAACATACAAGTCCAAGAAAATGAAAGCACGTTGTGTAAGTTCTTGATGAATTTGATTTTCTGTCCTTGTAAGTTACATAAAGTGCACAGATCTTTAGGGTTTACCTCTGATTTTCCCATACATGCAGATACTGTGTCCTCACCATTTCCAGCATGCTTCAAGGCTCTCTCATGCTGGTTTCCAGTCACTATCCCCCCACGGTGACCACCCTGGACTTAAGTCACCAAATGTTAGCTTTGCCTTTTTTGCACTTGATCTGCCTTCTCAAATGCTACCAAATTTCCCCCATGTAACCTTTTAGAAGGTCTATTTTTTCCTTTACATTTAGGTGTACAATTAATCTGGAAATAATTTTAACTTATGGTACGAGGTATGGGTGTGTCAACCCCCCACACACCCTGTAGGACATCCAATTCACCTGATTTATTGAAGAATCTTCACCATTGCATTGCAGTGGCACTTTTTGTCTTAAATCAGATGATGGTACATGTGTGGGTCTGCTTCTGGGCTCTCTGATCTGTTGTTCCATTGTTCTGTTTGTCTAGCTTTACATAAAACCATACTATTTTAATCATGGGATAAGTCGATATTCAGTGTGTATCCTTCAATTTTCCTCCTCTTTGTCTCTGCTATGCTTCACCCTTTGCATCTTCACAGGAATTTCAGAATTGGCTCATTAATTTTGACAAAAATGCATATACTAGGACTTTGAGATTGCACTGAATTTATAGATCAATTTGGGAATTTTTTTTAATATAAATTTAGTTAGTTAGTTTTGGCTGCCTTGGTTCTTCGTTGTTGTGCGCGGGCTTTCTCTAGTTGCAGCGAGTGTGAGCTACTCTTCATTGTGCTCTGCAGGCTTCTCATTGTGGTGTTTCTCTTGTGGAGCATGGGTTCTAGGCACGTGGGCTTCAGTAGTTGTGGCACACGTGCTCAGTAGTTGTGGCTCGTGGGCTGTAGAGCGCAGGCTCAGTAATTGTGGTGCATGGGCTTAGTTGCTCTGCAGCATGTGGGATCTCCCCAGATCAGGGCTCGAACCCGTGTCCCCTGCATTGGCAGGCAGATTCTCAACCACTGCACTGGGAAGTCCCTGGGAAATGTTTGAGAACAATATTGAGTCTCCCAATCCACAAATACAAAATAGATCTCATTTATGAAATTTCAAGCACTATTTTGCAGTTTTCTGTATAGAGGCTTTTCACACCTTTCTTTAGACTTATTTCTAATCATTCAATATTTTTGATGCTATTGTCAATGGTACTTTTAGTTCAATTATCTAATTGCTTTGTAATATACAGAAATACAGTTGAGTTTTGTATACTGACATTCTACCTAGCAACTCTGCTAAATTCACTTAACTCTAACAGTTTATCTTCAGGGGTTTTTTTTTTTTGTTTTCTAAGTACATAAACATATTGTATAGGAATGGATAAGTTTTCTTTCTTTCTTTCCAATGGTGAATTAAAGAGGTAATAGTGTAATTTTTTCTATTCTTATATGCAAGGAGAGAGCATTATTTCACCTGAAATGAAATCATGATGTGTCTGCAACATGAAGTGTCTGTGATAGATTTCTTTTGTAAATATGCTTTATCAGATTAAGGAAGTTCCTCTCTATTACTAGATTTAAGAGCTTTTGCTATAAATACCTGTTTAATTTCATCACTTACTTTTATTCTGCGTCTCGGGTTGGTTGTTCTCCCTTATTCTGTAACTGTGATGGATCTCAGTGTGTGTGGGTTGTTTGTTTGTTTGTTTTAGCTGCACCACGCGGCATGTGGGATCTTAGTTCCCTGACCAGGGATCAAACCCGTGCCCCCTGCGCTGGAAGCGTGGAGTCTTAACCACTGGACCACCAGGGAAATCCCCTGTTTTTTGGGTTTGTTTGTTTTTGTAACATTAAACCATCCTTGCATGGATACAATAAACCATACTTGATCATGATATAATTTTTATATATCACTAGATTCCATCTGTTAATTCATTGTTTAGGATTTTTGCATCTCTGTTCATGAGAAATAAATGTCTACATTTTCTTTTTTTCTAGTGTGTTTGTTGAATTTTGGCACCAAAGTTATGCAGGTCTCAAAAAAAGTATTGGGAAGCATTCTCTCACTTTTTCTATTCCCTGGAAAATTTTATAGAATTGGAATTATTTCTTCTGTAAATTTCGGAAGAATTCACTAGGGAAGGCATCTAGACTTCAAGCTTTCTTTGTGGAAAGGTTTTTAATTTTGGATTCAATTTCTTCAATAGATTCAGGACTGATTTGTTTTTTATTTCTTCTTATATCGAATTTAAGTTGTGATTTCTAAGGAATTTGTCCTTACTATCTAAACTGTCAAATGTGTTTGCCTATTGCATAACCTTCTTTTACGTTTACTTTATTTACTTTCATGTAAAATCTGTTGTGATATCCCATTTCATATTGGATACTGGCAATGTATTTTTTTTCCTCTTTCTTGCTTTTTCTTTCCAGTATTTTATTTTAACATCTTTATTGGAGGAAAATTGCTTTACAATGGTGTGTTAGTTTCTGCTTTATATCAAAGTGCATCAGCTATACATATACATATATCCCCATATCGCCCTCTTGCATCTCCCTCCCATCCTCCCTACCCCATCCCTCTAGGTGGTCACAAAGCACCGAGCTGATCTCCCTGTGCTATGCGGCTGCTTCCCTGTCTTGCTTTGTCTTGATCAGAAGTGAATTTTATTAATCAAAGAATCAACTTTCAGTGGGAATTTCTCTTTTGTACATTTGGTTCCTATTTAATCAATTTCTGCTCTTCATTATTGCCTTCCTGCTACTTTCTCTGAGTTTAATTTGCTTTTCTTTTGTGGCTTCCTGAAATAGAAGACTAGATAATTGGTTTTCAACCTTTTTCTTATTAAAGCTATACATTTTCCTTCACTTTTTACCACTGTATTTTACCATCATTTATGTAAAAATATTTCCTAATTTCTGAAATTTCTCAATCTAACATTACTATTTTTGTAATTAAGAAGTATCTGAGAGGAAAATACTTTGAGACTAATATTTGTTCCTCATAATACTTTTGCTTACAAGTTTTAGTATTAATTCCTGCCTGAAACAATCTTTACTATAGTGGCTGCCTAATGACAATTTTCTAATTTCATCATTTCTTCTACATTATGTTGGAATTCACCCACCATAAATGGTTTTTCTCTGGCCCCCTCCGTCATTTCAGTGTAACCTATTTATATTTACTTTTTTCTTCTGTGTGGTTCTTTGTTCTTTCAAATAATTTCTTTTGTAATTTAGGCTTCATATTGTTCCAGTTGTTACTTTTATATCTTCTTATAGTGCCCTGAATCCCACTTTTCTCCATCTGTTATTATCAGCCTAAGAGTTAAAGTGGTATCCTTTGCTTTCCTCCTAATATCAATGGCAGTATCTTACTTCCCCCAACCCTCTTTCTTCTTATGCTCACTTCATATTCTTACTTTACCAGAAAATATCTTTATATAGTATTCTTCCATCTTTGCTCAACCCTCATTTTAGTCTTAGATGTAAAATTAAATATATTAAATGCTCACCATCAGCCCTTTAGCTGGAAGCTCAACCTCTAGTATATTCCTCAAAAAATTAATTTTTGTATATGGTGTAAGTATAGACCAATACACATATTTTTCTCAAACAGATGTGCAAGTGTTTCAGCACCATTTTCTTTGTAAAGACTATTCTCTTTCCAATGAATTGATTTTGTAATTTTGACAAAAATTGGTTCACTATGTAGTGTGTAGTTTTATTCAGGAGTCTCTTCTGTTTCACTAATCTGTATGTCTGTCCTTTCACAATACCACACTGTCATAGCTGTTGTAGCTTAATGACAGGCCTGGAAATCAAAGAGTATATGTCTTGCAACTTTGTTTTTCCTTTTCAAAATTGTGAGTATTCTAGTTCCTTTGCTATTCCACATAAATTTTAGAATCAGTTTGTCAGTTTTAACAGAAAATCTTCCTGGGAATTTTATTGGAATGGGATTGAGTCTAAAAATCCGTGTGGAGAACACTGACACTTTAACGACATTGAATCTTCCAATCCATTAACAGGGCACCTCCTCCCATTGTCCAGGTCATTATTATTCCCTTCTTCATTGTTGTCCTCAGCATACATTTCATGTCACTCACATTTAACTATTCCATGGTTTTTGGTGCTATCATAAATAGCTGTGCATTTTAACCCTAATTTTCCATTTTATATTGCAAGTATGTAAAAATAGAACTGATTTTTGAATATTGGTTTTACATTTTGCTGTCTTGCTAAATTGACTTGTTATGGTGGCTTTTTTAGTGTGTGTGTAAAGTTTTAAATGGAGTTTGAGTGAAGGCAGTCATGCTGTCTCTGAACAGTTGTCGTTCTTCCTTTCCAATCTGTATCTTTTAAATTTCTTTTTCTTGCCTTATGCAGTCAGCTAAGTCTTCCAGTACAATGCTGAAATAGAGTGGTGAGAGTGGATATAACTGACTTGTCCTCAATCTTAAGGGAAGCTATTCACTCTTTCACCATTATGACATTAATTGTAGACCAGCGGTCCCCAACCTTTTTGGCAACAGGGACCAGTTCCACGGATGACAATTTTTCCATGGACCAGGGGGCGAGGGGGATGCTTCAGGAGGTAATGCGATTGATGGGGAGTGATGGGGAGCAGCAGATGAAGCCACGCTCACTCGCCTGCTACTCACCTCTTGTTGTGTGGCCCAGTTCCTAACATGCCGCAGACCAGTGGTGCCCCCTGGGGGTTGGGGATCCCTGCTGTAGACACGTTTCAGATGTGCTTTATTAGTTTGAGGAAGCTACTTCCTATTCCCAGTTTTCTCAGGTTTTTTTTATCATGAGTGCTGTGGAATTTGAACAAATGCTTTTACTACACCTGTTGATGTGACCATATGATTTTTATTTTTTAGTTGGTCAGGTATGAATTAGTGATTGGATTTTGAATACTGAGTCAGCCTCAGCTTTGTATTCCCAAGATAAACTCAAATTTGCCTTCATGTATTACCCTTTTATATATTACTGGATTTAATTAACTAATATTGAGGCTTTTTACATCTATGTTCATGAAGAACATTTGTAGTTTTTTAAGAAATTGTAGTTTTTTCTTTTAATCAGTGTGACACTGATTTCATAAAATCGGTTAAGAAGTATTTGTCATCTATTTTCTTGAAGAGTTAGTATAGAATGGCTATTACTTCTTTCTTAAATGTTTGATAGAAATCACCAGTGAAATGATCTGAGCCTGGATTTTTCTTTCTTGGGAGAATTTTAACTATGAATTTAATTTCTTTAATAAATGTAGCACTATTCAGGTTACCCATTTCATATTGAGCTTTGGTGGTTTGTGCCTTTCAAGAATTTAGTCCATCAAAGTTGTCAAATTTGTTTTGTGTTGCTTACCCCTTCCACTGTTTTAGTTTCACTGGTTTCTGGTCTTATCCTTACTATTTCATTCCTATTTACACTGGGCTTTACTCTTCTTTTCCTAGTTCCTTAAGGTAGGACTTTAGATTATTGATGTGAGACCTTTATTCTTTTCTAATGTAGGTATTTAGTGCCATTAATTTCCCTCTACACACTGCTTTTTCTGCATCTCAAAAAATTTGATATGTTGTATTTTAATTTGTACATGTTGTATATAATAATTCAAAATATTTCCCATATTTTTCTTGAAATTTCTTGGAGCCATGAATTACTTAGAATTGTGCTGCTTAATTTCCAAGTGTTTGTCGATTTTTCTGTTCTTGTTGCAATTGGTTTCTTGTTAAACTGCACTATAGATGGAAGACATTTTGAAAGGTTTCAATTATTTTAAAAATGTTAAGATTAATGACTTAGGACATGACCTGTATTGATGAATGCTTCACATGTAATTGAAAAGAATACATACTCTGCTGTTGGATATTCTAGACATGTCTACCAGGTCTAGTTTATTGATGGCATTATTCAGTGCTTCTATAGCCTTGGTCTCCAACTTATGTTACTGAGAAATAACTGTTGAAGTGTCCAACTAAAATGGTAGAGTATATTTCTCATTTCACCTCTGTTTTTGCATGATTTTGAAGCTTTCTTGTTAAGCGCATGCACATTTAGGATTGTCTTTTTGGAAAAATGATGCTTTTCATTATATAAGGTACCTATATATTCCTGATAATTTTGTTTGCTCTTTGAATATATATTTACTTCCAGAAAAGGGTACATATTTGTTAATGACAGCTCTTAGGCTGGGAGATAAGGTGGGGCTGAATCAATCTGATCTGTATTTCAACTGACTGAGCTTGGTTGAAGCTTTTGGTTGAGTTAGTGCAAAACTGCCTTCAGATATTTTGAGGGCAAATCAGAATGTTTCCCTCAGCAGGGCCTGGAATCTGAGCATGGAGACATTGTAGAGATTTGCTTGTGCTCACAGCCAAGCTGCCAGCTCTCAGAGCTATGCGAAACAACTCCTTGCCTTACAGCCTGTAGTTTAAATATTTGCCTGTAGTTTATTTTGGTTTTTCTAAATAGACAATCACATGTGCAAACAATACGATTTTTGTTTCTGCCCCAAACCCCAATTCCTTACAACTTTCTGTTCTCACATATTGGCTAAAACTGTCATTATATTGCTCAATAAAATTGATGGGCATTCTTTTTCTTAACTTAAAGGTATACATTTACTGTTTTATCATTAAATATGACATTTGTCAGTTTTTGGAACATACTCCTTGCAAAGTTAAAGGAGTTAATTTCTATCTCTAATTTAATAACATTTTAAAATAATCTATGGGTATTATAGCCCATCAAATGATTTATCTACACATACTGAGATACTCATATGGCTTCTTTCTGGTAGTGTGGTTAATTTTACAAAAAGAATTTCTAATATTAAATCTTCCAAACACCCTAATGAGTTTTAATTAGGATCAGGTTCAGGTGCACATAACAGAACCAACTCTCCTTCCAACGAAAAAAGAAAAGATGCCATGAACAAGACAGTTCATCTCTCTTTTGTGTAAAAATATGCCCAGACTTGGTGGTCTAAGGGCTGGCACAGCAGCTCCATCATTACCAGAGAGCCACATCACTCTTATCTCTCTACTGCACTCAAGCAGACAGCTTCCACCCTCAAGAGGAATTCAGGTTCTAAGATGGCTGCTGAGTCTCCAAACATCCAGCATGTTGCATATTAAAAAGAAAAGATGAAAGCACACTAGGGGGCTTTCCCCACTTGTTTTCCTTTTGAAAAACCTTCCCATTATCCCTCTTGGTAACTTCTATGTCCATTTCATTACTCAGAATTAGCAGCAGGATCACACTTAGCTACAAAAAGAATGGAGAAATGCAGCTTTTTAGCTGAGCACATCACCATTATGAAAAATACAATGATACTGCTGGTAATGAAGAAATATTGGATTCACTACTAACAGTCTGCTACACTTAATAATGTCATGACTTAAAAAAATAAAAACTACATTACTAGATGCATTTTTGCTATAATTCCATTTAGAATTTTTAAATCTATGTTCACAAATGACTTTGTCATTTCCCCCCAAAAGTCTACTTCCTGTGAAATATTGTAAAATGTTAGAATTATCTTTCCTTTAACTTTCCTGAAAATTATCAACTATTACTGAAAGTCTCTGGAACCTCTTTCTTTTCTGGGGCTGGGGCAGAGTTAGAGGAACTAGGTAGATTTTCAAGCCAGAAATTCAATTTTTAACTTTCCTATTGTTTTTTTACTGGTTGCTGATCTACTGATTTTTGTTAAGTTTCATTTATCTGGAAAATTTTCCATTTCATTTAAAATCAGACCCAATCCATCATTATCCTTTCACACAGTATTTGATTTATGCCTTCAACATTATGCTGACATCTCTGGCTTCTACTGGGAGAGGCTGAATGTGCATTTGCATCACACAATACAGAACCTTTAAAATCTAATTGACCCTGGATAGTAGGAAACAGAATATGTGTTTATTCTTTATTTTGTGCATATATCTTCCTTGGAACATCAATGACAAAATACATATTCATATTTTCCAGGTTTAAGGGACAGACTGTAGCAGATATCTGAAATTCTTTCCTTATGCAAGCCTTCTCTTCCCTTCTGTAAATCATCATTCTTCACCCCAGGTCTATTGACATTGGATAATAATAATGAGCTGAACACATAAGGACTTGGGATTCAGAAATCATTGACTACGTCCTTCAAGGAAGATGCAGTTTCTTTGGGTAAGAGATGGGATTCCCCACTGAAGTAAAGAGCACAAAGTAGTGGGTGTTTCAGAAATATTTGCAGTTTTGAATCCTCATATTCCTCCAAGATAGCCTAACCTAATTTTCAGATTAATGCTCATTCACATAAGGTAATTGGTGAGGCTGTGAAAAAAACTGACTTTGTAAGTAAGCAACTGGTAGAATGACTTTTCACCATCCTGAATCTATAGCTATACATACACATTTCAGCAGCATCACTTAAAGGTATCACTTAAATGTACTGAGAGGATACAAGATAGTTCAAATTAACAGAGAAGTGAACTAGGATTAAAAAGGGACAATAACTAAAGCTATTCTGTGTAATCTATATAGAAGGAACTAATTAATACTAGCAGTAAGATGCTACCTGAGAACAAAAGCTAAGTTTGATTTTCTGTACTAAGGAGTCCATTAAAAATTTATATTCTGAACTATCTCAGCCAAATCCTGGCAGGGCACCTTGAATGATGATCCCATCATGACTGCATACACTGTGAATTCTCTTAAAGGAAATCAAGGTGTTCTAACCAGAGAAGGTAGAACAGATTGCAGATACACAATCACATGAAACTATATTGCACTATATTGATTATATAACTAAAGAGGTAGCTTTCAGGACCATTTACAAAGGGTACAAAATAAAAGGTTTAAAGTATGGAAATGCATTTTAATGCCATATTATTCTAGTAAGAAGTTGTATTTTTAAATAAGAATGTCTCTATGCAGAGTAGAAACCCCTGGAAAATGGTATTGTTATCTAGCTAATTTATCTATCAAATGTGGCATTCACAAGAATATGCAAAACTACACAAAACATATTTTATAGTACAGAAACGAAGATAACACCTAAATATCCCTGCAGGTCTTATGATGTCATCCTTATTGTTATCCTGATTGTTACATTTATTTACACAGATTAAAAAATCTTTATGTTCTACTATGAACATACCTTTCATTGATAGTTGAATACTTTCTTCAATCGTTTCCTAAAAGTTTGGAACATTTGGAACATAATTTCCCTTAATTTGTAAAGGAAATTATTTTTTTCCAAATGAATCAAAATAATAGTAAATAAACCTTCCTGCTGAGGCTTTACCCCATCTGAAATATTCATAGATCTTCATTCATTCAAATTTTTTTTCTTTTTTTTTTTTTACTAGAAGTTTGTCCTTCTAGATGAAGAATTTCCCTTAGAGCATGGTTTCTCCAAGGTATGAGCTTATGATACCTGCAATTCATTCATTTATGTTTTCTCTCATTAAAATCCTAATTCTTAATAAACTATGAATTTCAAAGGACTGTATTCTGTATTCATTTGCATTATGGAATTTCCTCTTTGTGGATGTTAGCATATCAAAAAATGGCTTTCTGACATTCATTTCATTCATAATGTTCCTCACCTGCACAAACTTACAAGACTTCCTGCTAAGAACTTTCATAGGGTTCACTGAATTCATAGAGTCCCTTGTGCACATGTACTGATATTTTTTGTGTGTATAAAAAACAGCGTTCCACATGCCACATATACATGGTGTACAATGAGATGATTTCATTTACAGAGTTTCTCTTCTGTACAAATTTTCTGGGAATTCCTGTGACTTGACTTTAGAGAGAAAGTTTCTTACATTTACTTCACCAATATGTTTCTCATCTGTGTGAGTTCTCTGATGCATAATGAGCTGTGACTTCCAACAAAAGGCCTTCCCACATTCACTGCACTTACAGGGTTTCTCTCCTGTATGAGTCCTCTGATGTGCACTGAGAATTGATTTCTGAGAGAAGGTTTTTCCACATTCACTGCATCCATAGGGTTTCTCCCCTGAATGAGTCCTCTGATGTACAATGAGCTGAGACTTCCTAATGAAAGCTTTTTCACATTCGTTGCATTCATAGGGCTTCTCTCTTGTGTGCATTCTCTGATGTACAATGAGCCGTAATTTTCCACTGAAGGACTTCTCACATTGACTGCATTTATAAGGGTTTTCCCCTGCATGAGTGCGCTCGTGTACAATGAGTAGTGACTTCCAAATGAAGGCTTTCCCGCATTTGTGGCATTCATATGGTTTCTCTCCAGAATGAGTTCTCATGTGTATAATGAGGTATGACTTGCTACTAAAGGCTTTCCCACACTCACTGCACCCATAAGGTTTTTCCCCAGCATGAGTTCGCTGATGTGAGATGAGCTGATCTTTTCTATTAAAGGCTTTCCCACATTCACTGCATTCATACGGATTCTCCCCTGTGTGAATTCTCTGATGTACAATAAGTTGTGAATTGAAACTGAAGGATTTCCCGCATTCACTGCATTCATGTGGTTTCTCTCCTGTGTGAGTCCTCATATGTATGATGAGGTAGGACTTGCTCCTAAAAGCTTTCCCACATTCAATGCATCCATAGGGTTTCAACCCTGTGTGACTTCTCTGATGTACAATGAGCTGTGACTTCAAACTGAAGGCTTTTCCACACTGATTACACCCATAGGGTTTCACCCCAGTGTGTGCTCCCTGATGTACAATAAGCTGTGACTTGAAAGTAAAGGATTTCCCACATTCACTACAACCATAGGGTTTCTCTCCTGTGTGGGTTCTCTGATGAACAATAAGATTCGACTTTGTGTTAAAGGCTTTCTGACATTCACTGCATTCAAAGGGTTTCTCTCCTGTATGAGTTCTCTGATGTATCACGAGCTGTGACTTCAAACCAAAAGTTTTCCCACAGTCACTGCATTCATAGGGCTTCTCCCCTGCATGAGTTCTCTGGTGTGAAATGAGCTGGTATTTCCGACTGAAGGCTTTCCCACATTCACTGCATTCATACGGATTCTCCCCTGTGTGAATTCTCTGATGTACAATAAGTTGCGAATTGAAACTGAAGGATTTCCCGCATTCACTGCACTCATGTGGTTTCTCTCCTGTGTGAGTCCTCATATGTATGATGAGGTAGGACTTGCTCCTAAAAGCTTTCCCACATTCAACGCATCCATAGGGTTTCACTCCTGTGTGACTTCTCTGATGTACAATGAGTTGTGACTTCAAACTGAACGCTTTTCCACACTGATTACATGCATAGGGTTTTACCCCAGTGTGTGCTCCCTGATGTACAATGAGCTGTGACTTGAAAGTAAAGGCTTTCCCACATTCACTACAACCATAGGGTTTCTCCCCTGTGTGGGTTCTCTGATGTACCATGAGGTTAGACTTTGTATTAAAAGCTTTCCGACAATCACTGCATTCATAGGGTTTCTCCCCTGTGTGAATTCTTTGATGTATAATGAGTTGTGATTTCAAACCAAAAGCTTTCCCACAGTCATGACACCCATAGGGTTTCTGTCCTGAATGAGTTCTCTGGTGTGAAACAAGCTGGTCTTTCCTACTGAAGACTTTCCCACATTCACAGCATTCATAGGGATTCTCCCGCGTGTGAATTCTCTGATGTATAACAAGTTGTGAATTGAAACTGAAAGTTTTCTGACAAACACTGCATTCATGTAGTTTCTCTCCTGTGTGAGTTCTCTGATGAACAATGAGGTAGGACTTGCTGCTGAAGTCTTTCCCACATCCATTACATTTGTAGGGTTTTTCTTTTGCATGAGTTTGCTGATGCACCACAAGGTATGACTTGCTGCTGAAGGCCTTCCCACAGTAACTGCATTCAAAGGGCTTTCCTCCCATACGTATTTGCTTGCATATGAGCTGTGACTTTCTGTTGGCAGTTTTTCCAGATTTATTACTTTCACAGTATTTTATCCCAGTAACAGCTTGCTCATGTTTAGAATGGAAGGACGATTCCCTATGTGCATGAAACCCATTAGGATTCTTTCTGGAATAAGTATTACCGAAATCTGTACTATATTTCAAACTCTTTCCATTTGTGACACATTTATGAAGTTTTTGTCTTGAAGAAACATAATCTGTACTAAGAAGACATAGTTTTCCAAATGCAGTACACTGATAGCCTTTTGACATACTTCTTAGCTTGCCTTGATTTTCCTTATGCCATTCCATATGACCATCAATTTCCCAGACTTCGTCTAGAAATGAAAATACTCATATGTTATAAATAGTAACATGATCCTAGTATAGCATAAAATTGCCTTAAAAATGCCATATCATGAGGTTTTTCTTAGTTTCAGATATCAGTTCTGAATGTAAATAAAATCTCAAGTGTAAATGTACCCAAACTCCTGGGCACTCAGGAAAACAAAGCAAATCAAAACATGTATGAGGCAAAGGGAACTGACAATAAATAAAGGTAGTCTTGAGTTACAAAATTTTGCAAAATGCCTTCTTTAGAAACAAAAGAGAAATGAGCAAAACAGAAAGAGGTGGGGCCTTCCCTGGTGGCACAGTGGATAAGAATCCGCCTGCCAATGCAGGGGACATGGGTTCAAGCCCTGGTCCAAGAAGATCCCACATGCTGCAGAGCAACTAAGCCCACGTGCCACAACTACTGATCCTGCGCTCTAGAGCCCGCGAGCCACAACCACTGAAGCCTGTGCACCTAGAGCCCATGCTCCACAAAAGGAGAAGCTACTGCAATGAGAAGCCTGCGCACCATAAGGAAGAGTAGCCCCCGCTCGCCACAACTAGAGAAAGCCTGTGTGCAGAAATGAAGATGCAATGCAGCCAAAAATAAATAAATTTATTTATTTATTTAAAAAATATATATATAAAGAGGTGGGAAAGGATCTCTGAGCATTAGCTTCATTCGACGAATAATCGTTAAATATCTATTATGTGCCAAACACTGTGCCAAGCTCAGGAGAAAGAGCAGAACCACTGCAGATTGGTTTACAGTCTTCTTGGGAATAAAGTTCCACTGAATACCCAAATAGATGAAAATAAACTCACAAGAAACATCATCAAGATGTTTCAGAACGCTGACAAGCAGCAGCTAATAAAGCTTCCAAAAAAACCAAAAAAGTTTCATATAATGGGTCAAAATTTAGAATGGATCTGACTACTCATTAGCATCGCTAGGAGAGAAAAAACAGAGCATTCAGGAGTAAAGTATAAACATTTTCAGTGGCACATGTCTCAAATTTTATATCAAATGCACCCTTTCACAGGAAGCTACTATGAAAGGTGTTCCTTTCACAGGAAACTACTATGAAAACAAACCAAGAAAAAAGATGACACAAAAAAATAGAAAAGAAAATCTGAAAGGAGATTCCAGGTTAAAAACTGTACAACCAGGTCTTGAGATATATCAGCTTACACTGGAGCAAGTCAAAAGACATGGGAGTGATGTCACCAGGAAGATGAAATTGACAGAATCACTAATTTAGCTGAATGTACCAAAAGAATATTTAGACATGTGAAGAAGAGTCTGGGGTTAAATTAATTATAAATACATTAATGATAACACAGAAAACTGGGCACGGAAGTAAAACAACTCAAGAGAAAAAATGATTTATGAACGAAAACTAGCCATTGTACACTTGCATGATTTACCTGTGAACAGAAATGACATGGTCGTAAAGATATAAAAACTGAAGACTGATCTAAGTATGAAACACCTTGATTAGGATGATGGAGGTATGGAAAGAGACAGTGTGTATATCATGGGGAGTATGAGGGAAGGAGGATGAAAGAGAATTAAATCTTTACCCTTCACACTAAGTAATTAGGAGGAAATCAAGGTGCAAGAGAATAAGTTGGTTATTTAGAAAAACATGGACGTAAATACCATAAGAAAGAGCTAAAGAGATGAAATTGGTTTTCTCTGAGGGGAATGAAAAACAGACGGGGCAGGGTGGCCAGAATGCTTTTAAACATAAACCCAACCCAACTCCCACCCCCCAACCAAATTCCAAAACTACAAAGTGGATAGGGAACTAGACACAAGACTAAGGCCTCAGTCATAATCAGAAATATCTGGAGGTTGAACAGAAGAGAGAATGGGTAGAGTTGACCTAGATGTCCCCAAGTTATTGCTGACCAAGGCAATGGACAAAAAAGTGTATTAAGAGAACACAGAAGCAGGTCAGGTTTGAAGACAGCAATATCACAGGATCTTAACACCCCATTTCAGGTTTCCCTACATCTTAAATCTGAACCCTCTTATTCATTTTGTACACAACCTCCAAATTATATTTTCCCAAACATCAATTCCCAACTGGGACAGTACCCACCCCCATGCAGTGAGAAATGAACAGGAGCATGTTTGACTATTACAGTGGCTTTGGAGGGAACATTACTGGCTATTACTGGGTTGGCCAAAAAGTTCCTTTGGTTTTTAAGTAAACATAAAAGATACATTTTCCATTTTCACCAAGAACTTTACTGAACAACATATTAGCCATTTTGGGCTTTTTTGTTTGCAGTACGCGGGCCTCTCATTGTTGTGGCCTCTCCCGTTATGGAGCACAGGCTCAGATGTGCAGGCCCAGCGGCCATGGCTCATGGGCCCAGCCACTCCGTGGCATGTGGGACCCTCCCGGACCGGGGCACGAACCCATGTCCCCTGCATCAGCAGGCGAACTCACAACCACTGCAACACCAGGGAAGCCCTCGCCATTTTGTTCCACTACCCTCTGTCATATTTCAGGCAACTTCATAATTCCATCTTACCAAAAGGCTTTATCTTTTTGAGCAAAGAACTGTTCCAGGTGCCTTTTACAGTCTTCCAGGGAATTAAAATTTTTTCCATTAAGAGAATTTTGTAAAGGCTGAAATAAATGGAAAGCCAAAGGTGCATTGTCTCGTGAATATGGCAGATGAATCAGAACTTCCCAGCCAAGCTGTAACGGTTTTTGCCTGGTCATCAAAAAAACATGCGGTCTTGCATTATCCTGATGGAAGATTATGTGTTTTCCGTTGAGTAATTCTGGATGTTTTTTCTCGAGTGCTGCTTAGAGTTGGTCTAATTGGGAGCAGTACTTGTTGGAAGTAATCATTTGGTTTTCCAGAAGAAGCTCGTAATAGAGGACTCCCTTCCAATCCCACCTTATATACAACATCATCTTCTTTGGATGAAGACCAGCCTTTGGTGTGGTTGGTGGTGGTTCATTTCACTTGCCGCACGATCTCTTCCATTCCACATTATTGTACAGTATCCACTTTTCATTCGCCCATCACAATTCGTCTTAAAAACTGAACGTTTTCATTACATTTAAGTAGAGAATCGCATTTGAAAATGTGATCAAGAAGGTTTTCTTCGCTTAACTTACATGGAACCCAAACATCAAAGCAATTAACATAACCAAGCTTGTGCAAATGATTTTCAACCCTTGATTTGGATCTGGATTTTGCATATATCGGCTATCTCCCTTGTGATATAACGTTAATTGTCCTCAATTAAGGTCTCAATTCGATTGCTATCAACTTCAACTGGTCTACCTGACTGTGGAGCATCATCCAGAGAGAAATCTTCAGCATGAAACTTCACAAACCACTTTTGACATGTTAGATCAGTCACAGTCCCTTCTCCATATACTGCACAAATCCCTTTCTGCATTTCAGTTGCAGTTTTGCCTTTCCTGAAATAATACAGTATAATAGGCCAAAAATGTTGTTTTCTTCCATCTTCAATATTAAAATGGCTACACAAATATTCACCAATTTTGATAATTTTTTTTTTTAATGCACACCGATACAACAGCTGTCACAATACAATCTAACAAAACTGTTTTGAATGAAGTTAAAGACAACTAAGTGCTACTAGAGCCATCTTATGGAAAAAACCGAATGAACCTTTTGGCCAACCCAACACATGGTCTTAAAGTCAGAAGTGTTTCCATCAAGAAGAAAACAGGCCAGTGAGTAATTAACCTTTGCCCTCAAATCATATTTGCTCATGTTTGGCTGTCAGTGTTGTCCCTGTAGACTCTGAAAGTTCGTGGATACTGAATCTGTCAGTTTCTGTACTTCACCCTTCCAATCCTTCTGTTGCTGGCACCACACTCCTGCTTATTTTCCCTTGGTTCCCACATCTCTGGCTTCCTTCATTTGATTTCCCAGGAAATCTAATGTATTTGCTGTTGAGCATTTTCTTTACAACAATAATTGCGGGAAATTAATCATTGATGGTATCTCAAGGAAGAGCACAAAGAATTCAAGAAATAAGGACAGAATACCAGAGCCAGTGAGTAGAAGACAGGAATTCACAAGATTAAAGATTATTTAAACATGATTTAAGACTGTATTAAACATGATTACTGGCTGTGGCCCATCTTGAGTTTAGCCACAGAAGACAATGGAAGAGGAAATCATGCTAAGCCAGCAGAACCCGGGCTCACCAGGCCACGGCCACAGCAGGAAGCCCCGGCACAGCCTGCCCAGCCCGGGTTCCAATGCTTCTCTGTTGTGCCACTCCTGCTGCTCTCCCAGAACGAGGTTCCTGTTGTACCCACCCTGTACTTCTCTCTGCCACTCTACCTGTCTGGCTGGTTGTACGTGGATAACTTATCTTTAATTATAGATCACCAGACCATGAAGAACCACCACGTCTGATTAGAAACAAGGATCCTAGACTTGCATTAATATACTAGAAGAATGACAAGAGGGGTGATAGAATATTTTTGAAGATGAATGGATGGAAAGGAGGGTGTGACTGGATGATGCCTAACCAGAGAGGTAGATGGAGGTGGACAGTGCTGCCTACCCAGCCGTTCTGCTGCCCTTTTCCTGGCTGGCAGAAACCTGATCTTATTTCCTACTTCCATTTGTAAGGCCATGTGCTGCAGTTAGGAAAATGGGACCCACTTCCATACCCCTGCCGAGAGTGAAGCATGATATAGCTGAGCCGACAGTGATGGCCCCGTTTTCCTCACCAGAGTCTTCTTTACACACGGATATGTGATAAAAAATCTAGCCTGCTCAACATGGTAAGTCTGCTGGGGCTTCCTGAAATAGATTTTAATGCCTGATTAAAAGGGCCATGTGGGAAGAAACAGTCTTTCTTATTCCACCGCCCACTGGTATATCTGCAGGTGTTGGCTGGAACTGTAAGAGGCATCTGGTGACCATGAGGGGAGGAAATCTGAGAAATACTGACATAGTTAGAATGGCGAGGCAGAGATAGACGTTTGGGGATTTAGTAAGTCAAGCAGTCCCACATCAGGACATTTTGTGATGTGTGGTAATAAATCACTTCTGCCTAAATAGTTTGATTTAGGACTAATCAAAAATTGCAGCTGAAACAATCCTAATAATACAAAGATTAACTGTTGATTTATCCTGACACACTTATGACAGAATATGTAGTTGCTTAGGGAAATATATCTGACAGTAACATCAGGATGAACTCACAATATAAAAAGAGTAAAAGGTATAAATTTGGCTAATAAGTAGAATAAGCAAGAAATGAAATAATGGAATTCCCTGGCGGTTCAGTAGTTAGGACTCCATGCTTTTACTGCCAAGGGCCCAGGTTCAATCTCTGGTCAGGAACTAAGATTCCATAAGCCGTGTGGTGTAGCCAAAAAAAAAGAAAAGAAAAAGATAATATTGGGAATTATCTCATTCCCAATGAGAAGGAGGTGGGAATTGAGAAGATGGAGGCCTTAAAAGACTTACTTTTGAAGGACCAAGATACTAACAGATTATAGCAAGACTAGTGAAGAGAACTGCATAAAAAGGGTATTTAGGCTCACGCCCCAGTGCCAGGAAGAAGAACCAGGAGCATAGCAGAACTAACAAACAGGAAGGTGAGAAGAAGTTATCATACAGCTATGGGGCAGCAGAAGGGACATTCCAATTCCAGTTTCTGAAAAATGAGACAAGGGAGTGGCCCATGCAGGGAAGATGCCCTGTGGAACAATCAAACCCAGTACCAAAGGGCAGATGAAAGAGGGATGGAGCTGTCAGTCACCAATACAGAAAGAAAAAGCGTAAATCTTCAGAGTGGAAGTCTTTTAAAATTTACAATATACGAGGAAAGTGGGGAATATAAGAAAGACCCCTTTGGACTCAGAGGAAAGAGCATGCGAGGGCAGTGAAGCATGAGGAGGATAAGCACTGTGTCGTGCAGTGTGAGAGTGGGTTCCATGGGGTTCACTTGAGTAAGGCGTGGGGGAAAGGCTTCAGGCAAGAGAAATGATATTATCAAATGATGCAGGAATACACTCAGAAAGAACAATGATGACAAAGCCATTAGGAAGGAGAAGCAGAAAGGGTAGAATCTCCTAACACATAGGTTTCAAGGGGAAGGAAATTGGAACTGTGTTGAATATGAATGTAAGTAATTTTAGAAGAATAGAAAAAAAGCAGAAGGGGTGTGAAAGTCACATGAAAAGAGGTAAAGAGGAAAAGCTTGCTTAAATGCGTAATGAAATGCATCTATCACCACGGGAAAGTAAGAAGGAAGCTGAGAATGCCACAGAGGAGATTAACTAAGAGGCAATGGTTACAAATGACCCAAAAGTACAAACACAAAGGGAACATCACGTCAGAACTCACACCAATTCTAAGGAGGAAAAGAGCTAAATGTCCTGACGACTCACCCAGATGGCCCTGAGTTGGGATTTGCATCATCCACAGCTCTTCTTGTTCCAACTGGAAAATGATATTCGGTTTGGTGTGTTGATACCCTGTGAATAGAAAATTACAGACAACCTGGCCCAAAACTGCCTAGGACCATGGGATTCAGCAGAATGGGGAAGACTCGGTTTAGAGGCGGCGTGATCAAGCTGCCCTTTTGCACTTTGGCAAAGTGAACATCATTCAACCAGCAGATTCTGATGGCAAAGGGGGAATAAGAAAATGTGGCCTCTAAATATAAGCCCCAAATCACCAAGCATTTTACGAAAGTGCCCCAGCTTTCAGCATCCAAGAAGGGGAAGCCTGGAGATGACACACACTCCTTTCAGGGAAGTGGTACTTACCCAGGGACACCAGGTTGCTATAGTTCTCCAACATCACACTCCTGTACAGGTGCTTCTGAGCTGGGTCCAGCAGCTGCCACTCCTCCCAGGTGAAGTCCACAAACACATCCATGAATGACAATGGTCCCTGAAACAACAATATCCCCCATTCAATTGCAAATCATTTTACTTAGTTTGTAGTAAACAAAAGGCTGCTAAGGGTGTCCATTATTTACATTCTACTTTGGGAGAAAAGCAAACGTTTACTGAAAATATCCCATCAATATGCATTAAATCAGTTAACCTGTCTTTCAGCATATAAGAATACCATGTGCCAGGTATTCAACTAGGAGCAGGTAATATAAAATGGATGAAAGACAGAAGTGTTCAGCATTGCAGAGAACAGCAAAGATTAAACCCATAAAAATGTAACAGGCAGTCAAAGATGCTATGACAAAAGAACATGCAGAGAACATGGGCACAAAGGGGGAAGCAAGCAATGCTGCTTGAATGCACCAGGAGCTACCACTAAAGAGAAGACGTTAAAATTTCGTGAAATAAAAAAGGCAACAGCTGTAAGTAGCAACCACGGTGTGGGGCGACAGATCTGAACATGAAGATACACCAATAGTAAATCAGCATATGAGAAGATGCTCAACATCATATATCATTAGGGAATTGCAAATTAAAACAGTGAGACACCATTACACATCTAGAATGGCTAAGATTTTCAAAAATGGACACCAAATTTGAAAATGAAATTCCAAATTTGATGAAGACATGAATATAAACATCCAAGAATCTAAACAAACTCCAAAAACAATGAACTCAAAGAAACGCATATGCTCAAATTTTCAATAGACAAAGAGAGAACCCTGAAAGCATCAAGAAAGCAATGACTTGTTTCCTACAAGGGCTCCTCAGTAAGATTATAAACAGATTTCTCATCAGAACCTTTGGAGACCAAAAGGCAATAAACCCATATATTCAAAGAGCTAAAAGAAAAATAAACTACCAGCCAAGAATCCTGTATCTGACAAAACTGTGCTTCAAAAGTGAGGTAGAGGGCTTCCCTGGTGGCACAGTGGTTAAGAATCCACCTGCCAATGCAGGGGGCACGGGATCGAGCCCTGGCCCAGGAAGATCCCACGATCCCACATGCCATGGAGCAACTAAGCCCGTGGGCCCCAACTACTGAGCCTGCACTCTAGAACCCATGCTCTGCAACAAGAGAAGCCACAGTAATGAGAAGCATGTGCACTGCAATGAAGAGTAGACCCCACTCGCCAGAACTAGAGAAAGACCACATGTATCAATGAAGATCCAACGCAGCCAAAAATAAATTAAGTAAGTAAAAAGTGAGGTAGAAATGAAGACATTCCCAGAAGAACAAAAGGTAGTTTGCTACCACTAGACCTGCTTGTCAAGAGATGCTCAAGGGAGTCATGTATGTGAAATAAAAGAACACTAGACAATATTTTGAAGCTGTTTAAAGAAATAAAGATCTGAATAAAGGTAAATATCTGGGTAATTATAATGGTAGTATATTTGTGCCTCTACATTTCATGCTCTACATAATTATAAGAGACAAATGCACTTGAAATAATTATTAGTTTACATTTCGGGGCACACAATGTATAAAGATGTAACTCTGAGACATCAGCAATCAAAAGGGGTGGGACAGAGCTGTAAAAGAGCATAGTGTTTGTATGTTATTGAAGTTAAGCTGGTATAAATTCAAATCAGAATGCTATAACTTTAGGAAGTTAAATGTAATCCCATGGCAACCACAAAGAAAATAGTTATAAAACTTACACAAAAAGCAAATGAGAAAGGAATTTAGACATTTCACTATAAAAATTCAACTAATCACAAAAGACAGTGATTGCAGGAACTGAAGGACCAAAAAGCTATAAGGTATAAAGAAAACAGCAAAATGACAGAAATAAATCCCTCCTTATGAGTAATTACTATAAGTGTAAATCAATAAAACTCTCCAGTGAAAAGACAGAGTTTGGCAAAATGGATTAAGAAACATGACTCAAATATGCTGTCTATAAGAAACTCAGTTTAGATCCAAAGACACAAACAGATCAAAAGTGAAAAGATGGATAAAGATATTCCATGCAAGTAGTAACCGAAGTAGAGCAGGGGTGGCTATACTAACATCAGACAAATCAAAAAGGTTGTAAGAGACAAAGAAGGAAATTACATATTATTAAAGTTTCAGTACAGCTAGAAGATAGACAATTATAAAGAGTTACACCTAATAACAAATCATCAAAATACATGAAACAAAAACTGACATAATTGAAGGGAGAAATAGTTTTATAATAATAATTGGAAACTTCAATATCCCACTCCCAATAATGCATAGAACAATCAGAAAGAAAATAAGTAAGGAAACAGAATTTAAATAAACTACCTCTAACAGACATATACAGAATATTCTACCCAAGAACAAAATATACATTCTTCTCAAGTACACATGAGACATTTTCCAGGACAGACCATATGTTAGGCCACAAATTAAATCTCAATAGATTTAAAAGATAAATATCATACAAAGTATCTTCTCTGACCACATAGGATGAAGTTAAAAATCACTAAAAGCAGCAGAAAAAAAGGGAAAATTCACAAATTTGTGGGAATTAAACAACATGGTCTTAAACAACCAATGGATCAAACAAATCAAAAGGGAAATTAGTAAATACTTAGACATGAATGAAAACAAAACACAACATAAAGTTGTTGGGATGCAGCAAAAGCAGTGTTAAGGGAAAATTTTACAGTTAAAAACACATATTTAGGGGCTTCCCTGGTGGTGCAGTGGTTGAGAATCTGCCTGCTAATGCAGGGAACACGGGCTCGAGCCCTGATCTAGGAGGATCCCACATGCCGTGGAGCAACTAGGCCTGTGAGCCACAACTACTGAGCCTGCGCGTCTGGAGCCTGTGCTCTGCAACAAGAGAGACCGCGATAGTGAGAGGCCCGTGCACTGCGATGAAGAGTGGCCCCTGCTTGCCACAACTAGAGAAAGCCCTCGCACAGAAATGAAGACCCAACACAGCAAAAATAAATAAATTAATAAACTCCTACCCCCAACATCTTCAAAAAAAAAAAAAAACCAGACACATTTAAAACAAGAAACATCTCAAATCAATAATCTAACTTTACAACTTAAGGAAACAGAAAAAGAACAAATTAAACACAAAGGTAGCAAAAAGAAGGAAATAAGATTAGAATACAAACAAAATAGAAACTAGAAAAACAATAGGAAAAAAAATCAATGAAACCAGAGCTTAGTTCTTTGAAAAGATAAACAAATTTTGATAAACCTTCAGGTAGCTAGACTGAGGAAAAAGAAAAAAGAGAGAAGATTAGAATTACTAAAATCAAGAATGAAAGTGGGGAAATTAGTACTGATTCTACAAAAATAAAAATGATTATTGGAAAGTACTATGAACAACTGTATGCCAACAAATTGGATAACTTAGTTGAAAGGAATGAATTCCATTTGTGTTTCTATCAAGATCAAATCACAAAGAAATAGGAAATCTGAACAGATCTATAACTAGTAAGGAGATTGGGTCTGTAATCAAAAATCTTCCCCCAAAGAAGAAAAGCCCAGGCTTCACTGGTGAATTTTAACAAATATTTAAAGAAGTAGTAACATCAATCTTTCTCAAGCTTTTCCAAAAACCTAGAGGAGGGAACACTTCCTAAGGCTCTGATACCAAATCCAGACAAAGCCACTGTAAGAAAACTACAAACTAATATTCCTCATGAACATAGATGCAAAAATCTTCAAAATAATAGCAAATCAAATTCAACAGCTTATTAAAAAGATCGTACACCATGACCAATGGGATTTATTTTCGGAATGCAAGGATGGTTCAACATTTGAAAATTGCTCAATGCAATACATCACACTAACAGAATGAAGTTAAAAAAATGATTATCTCAATGCAGATTACCTCAATTGAAGGATCTGACAAAATTCAACACTCTTTCATGATAAAAACACTCAACAAAGTAGAAATAGAAGGAAAGTACTTCAACATAATAAAACCCACATCTTAAAAACACACAGTGAACATCATACTCAATGATGAAAGACTAAAAGCTTTTCTTCTAAGATCAGGAATGAGGCAAGAATGCCTGCTTTCAAGACTTCCCTCATGGTCCAGTGGTTAAGAATCTGCCTTCCAATGAAGGGGACGTGGGTTCAATCCCTGTTCAGGGAACTAAGATCCTGCATGCCGCAGGGTAACTAAGCCCACACACTCTAGAGTCCACGCACCACAACTAGAGAGAAGGCTGCACGCCACAATGAAAGATCCCGCACGCTGCAACTAAGACCCGATGCAGCCAAATAAATAAATAATTTTTTTTTTAAAAAGGAATGCCTTCTTTCTCCACTTCTATTCAACATAGTGCTTCAAGTTCTTGCCAGAGCCATTGGGCAAGAAAAAGAAATAAAAGGCATCTAAATTAGAAAAGGAGTAAAATTATCTCTGTTCATGGACAATGTCTTCCTATATATAGAAAATCTTAAAGATTACACACACACACACACACACAACCTAGTTAGAACAAATGAATTCAGCAAATAACAGGATACAAAGTCACACACCAAAATCAGGTGCATTTCTATACACTAACAATGACCAATCTGAAAAGCAAATTATGAAAATTATTCCATTTATAGCATCATCAAAAAGTAATAACTGAACCTAGGAGGTAAATGACTTGCAGAATGAAAACTGAAAACCTTACTGAAAGAAATTAAAGAACACATAAATAAACAGAAACATACCCTATGTTCCTTAATATTAAAATGTTAACACTACCCAAAGTGATCTACATATTCAATGCAATCCCTAATAAAATTCCGACGATGTTTTTTGCAAAAATAGAAAAACCCACCCTAAAATGCATATGGAAGCTCAAGGGACCCTGAATAGCCAAAACAATCTTAAAAAAGAACAAAGCTGGAGGACTCATACTTCCTGATTTTAAAACTTACTACACAGGACTTCCCTGGTGGTGCAGTGGTTAAGAATCCTTCTTCCAATGCAGGGGATGAGGGTTCGATCCCTGGTCAGGGAACTAAGATCCAACATGCTGTGGGGCAACAAGGCCAGC